CAACCGCATCTGGGTACCCGCGTACTCACTACTGAGGGAGCTGCTACTGCAGGAGGCACACGACGGAATTACCTCGGGACATTTTGGGGTAGAAAAAGCGCGACAGCATCTGCAGCGGTATTACTACTGGCCGGAGCTGTTGACCGACGTGCAGCAGCACGTGGGCTCGTGCCCCACGTGTCAGGTGATGAAGAGCTCGAGGAAGTGGAAGGCGGGTCAATTGCAGCCGATACCACTGCCCAAGCGTGCCTGACAGCAGGTTACCATGGACTTCGTCACAGGGTTACCTTCAAACCCTGGGGGTAACGACGCAGTGATGGTCATCGTTGACAGGTTGACGAAGATGCCACACTTCGTTGCGTGCAAAAATTCGAGCTCAGTCGAGGAGACCGCTCGCCTGTTCATCGCAGCCGTTGTTCGCCTGCACGGGATACCAGCAGCGATTATCAGCGACAGGGACACGAAGTTCACCAGCAACTTCTGGAAGAACCTTTGGGAGCAGTTCGGGACCAGGCTACAGTTCAGTTCGTCGTACCACCCCGAGACCGACGGTCAAACGGAGCGGACGAATCAGACAATGGAGCAGTTGATTCGTGCCACGTGCGACGTCCCCACGACTTGGGAGCAGCAGCTGTCGCTGATCGAGTTCGCGTACAACAACACCACGTCAGCGACGACGAAGCAGTCCCCCTTCTACCTGAACTACGGGCAAAATCCTAGAGTGCCCATGACGCCGAGTCCGGACAACCCAACACCACGTGCACATCAATTTGCCGAAATTCTGCAAGCTGCCCGCACCAGAGCCGCGGAAGCAATTAAAAAAACAAACGTTATCGGTAAGCGCAACGCTAACCGCCACCGCGGCCCAGTCACATACCAGTCAGGGGATTACGTACTGCTCAACACGCAAAATCTGCGACTGCCCGACATACCGAAACTTCGACCGCGCTACTGTGGATCATTCCAAATCAGCCACATGATCACGCCAGTAACCGCGCACCTACTGTTACCGACCGACTGGTACATCAGCCCATCGTTCCACGTCAGCCTACTTCGCCCATACATCCCAACCACCAGCCAACTGCCTCGTCACCGCCCGCATTCCATGACTCGCCCTGCATCGGAGCCAATCATCGAGCCCGAAAAAATCCTGAGCCATCGGATTCGCCACCCCACGGGAATCAGGAAGATTGAATTCCTCATTCGCTAGAAGGACCGCACGCCAACTGAAGATAGCTAGGTGCCCCTGGCCAACCTTGAAAACCACCCTGCCCTGCAAGTGTACCTCAGGAGCCGGGAATTCCGCGATATACACGCACTCGCGTAGCGGAGGGGGCTTCTTGAGGGGGTGGGGTTAGTGTAAGGAATTTTCTCGGCATTCCTTACGGAGCCCGACTACATCTCGTACAGCAACAGCCGCTGTTCGGCCGTTACTGCTAACGGGACTTCGCCAACTTTGCGCGCACTGTTTTGCCAAACCTTACACTGCTGGCCCAGCCGTGTCGGCCTACGCTTCGAGACTAGCCCGAGCCTGGCTGCCAGCATAGCACTAGCTAGTTCGCACGCACCGCGTTATCGTTTGCATGTTCGCGTATAAATGTTCGCTCATGCCTTCGCTCACATCTTTTTACTCGGTTTGACACCTTAGCAATTCTCGCTACTTCGATTCATTGCACCCGTATCACTAGGCTTGCTTAGAATGTTTTGTAGAATGTATAGTTTGTATAGTCGTTGTTTTACTGTTACTCATTTCTTAGCCTTTCTCGACTTCAGTTTAGCCGGGTCGGTTCGTAAGGAGGAAGATTCCTTGTGGTCTAGGCTGTCAAAGTAAAGGACCTGCCAGCAGGACGACGCACGGCCAATCGGGAATGCGGCCGCCAAGTACATGCCGCTGTGTGAATGGCCAGCTCCTCCCGAACCAGGTGTGCTGGCCCGTTTTGTTCGGGTCAACTATCTGTGGAGGGGTCCGCGCAGGCAACCTTGCACTGCTGTCAGCAAGGCTGGCATTTACGAGCTGTGATGAAAAGTCAAACACTTTCTTCACTGACCCACTGCCTGCGATTGGTGGATCGTAAACTGGTCGTAAACGCTTCGTGCATCCTGCATGTTCGTGAATCGAGTATGCCTCCATCCTCCTCTTCGCGCTTCCTGCATGTTTGAGAATGCCCATCGCCAGGCATAAAAGGCCTCTCATCATCTTCACCTTTCTGGTTGTGTCATTTGGCTTACATATTTCCCATAATCACCACCACACTCTATCTCCTTGCTACGAAGTCCTCATTTTTTTATTACCACAACTAGGGTTACGGAGTGTAATAAGGGATCCTGCGCACCTGATACTGCTAGAGAATACAACCGCAATGGCTAATTCATTTTCCGGGCAGCTTTTCGGCTCCACCGGAATGGCCCTGCTGCTTGTGGCCACTTTGCTCGCCCAACTATCCACGACCACCCGCGCAATTCCCGTGACCGATTTGAAATTACCCAACAGTCCATTCGATAATTTTCATATCAGACTCATGAAGCATTTGTTCGAGCTGGACGGTACGACAGACATCTCCAACGTGACGATACTCCTCCCGTCTCTCGACGCCTTGTACGCCGCGTCTGAGAACTACCCCAAGCATGATAACGCCACGCGCAAATTCAACCAGGCGATCGCCGATGCGCTCACGCTCATGTACAACGGGGGCATGTACGGGGATAGTAAGTGGGTCGTTGGGACGAACATCTCAGCTGCTGTTGCGAAAGCGATGCTGGACATCTGGAAGTTTCACATTGTGAAGAAATACATCCCGCCCGCAGTCGCGAAGCAGAAGGTGAGAATCTGAACCGCCGTGTGACATCATGCCTGGACCGGAGTGGTCCGCAATGGACAGCAGTGGATCGCATTGAACATGCTTACGGATCTGGAAGCTCTAGAACGTGAAGGCGCTATGTTCCGCCCATGAGTCATGGTGAGTCTTGCACGAGACGCACAGGAAGCATACAAAGCATTCCCGACACTGATTTCTTGAAAACCCTAAAGATTTTCTCGCATGTTTCCGCAACGCATGTTCGAACATAGCCGCCGCGCACAATGCTCATGGTAGTCATCATCCCCAGTGATGGGTTGTGGACACCAAAAACATTTCTGGATGATAGTTTTCCGAATGATTTAATTGTATACGATCACTGTTCTTTTTCAGATGACGCATCATGCAACCGCTTGTGATCCGTTCTCATGTCTAGCCCTCCCCACCGCTCTATACCCCCTAATGGCAGTACTCATCTCAGGACGGGCACTGGGAGCTCCCAACAATGCAGGGACAGCCGCTCTGGATGTCGTACCACACGGCGTATGGCGGTATGTGGAACTTCTCGGGCATGTCTCCTCAGCAAAAGGCCAGCTCGCCGCTTCCGAGAAGCAAGATCATCAACAAATACGGCTATGTGGTCAATGATGGAACCCCGTATGCAACTGCAACAGTGGAACATCGCGAAATTGGGAAGTGCGGAAAGTAACCCTGAATACACTCTTGCACAACTTACCCGATAGTACACCCCCGGCACTTTTGAGTCAAGGTTTTAGAACTGCGTGGCGACAGTCACTGGCGTAGTAACTTCCGAGTCACTTTCCCGCGCCTTTCTGCACAAACTCAGTCAACCGTTTAGCAACGCCACCCGCATCTGCGCACATGCTAAACAGTCACGGGCTGCTCCACCCAAATGTTCACCTGCCCATACCGTGTCAACCAACTCGAAAGCGACGAGCACGTAACCCCAACTGCCAATCCGTACGGGCTTCCCCACGTGGCATACTGTTTCAACTCCCACGTCCACGTAAGCGTACATGCAGCAAAACGTACAGCAACCACAACCGTTGGATGGACACCCTGGTCACGCAATCACTACGGTACACGTGTCGCCTGTACATAAACTCGCATAGCACGTTACGCATTCGCGCACACAAACTCGCACATCCTTGCAAGCTCACCGCGCTCTGATCTGCACCGTACATCTGGTGGTCAAGCATCCTTCCCACACCGTACATTTGGATGCATCCCATAGGGCAGCAAACCGCATATCACGCCAACGGTAGCCACTACCCCTCATCCACGCGGCCTCACTCCACTTGCGCATCGTGCGTCTGCACCAGACGCGCCAATGCATAAACACCGTACACCTGAACCAATGCCACCGTTTCGTGCACTTCGCGAAAAGTCTCGCCTACCATTAGGGTTGCGCTCGCAACTAGATGACGACGACACCTGCGTCGTCCATCTGTATACATCGTAAACACCACCGACCTTCCACGTCACGCACAATTAATCCATCTTACCCGTACACTTGCAACCCGATCATGCTATCGCACAAACGGTAACCGGTTGCCCTACCCATCGTGGCTCACGTTTGCGACGTATGCGCGAACCACTCACAACCGTGCATTTGTCGCACCCGTATAGCATATCACAGCGCACATCCCACCGTCGGCCTCATCTTCACGCTCGTCCACGATTGTGACACGGGTGTACAAGCGCGTGCCACCCTCCCATACCATTGGCTCCACGTCATCCCTTAGCCTTGTTGCGGTCCAACCAGATGTCCACTTACGCGCACCGCTGCGTCCTTTACGTCCAACGTACAGGTGACACATGGCACACACCGTAAAATTCGCCGCAGAATGCGGCGCATCCCTCTCCGTCCCGCACATCTGGGCGACGGCGGGTTCGCTGTGGCATGCACCATATAGTTTCTGTTATGTGCTGTCATATGCGAGCAATACCCCAATTGAAGCTTTTCCCATTAACAACAAACGGACACACAAACATACAACGCCTCCACGCCTATGTCTAACCCCCCCACATCTTCAACACTGACACATGCTTAACCCAGGTGCGCGTTCCACAGCTACACATAACCCTGTCACACAGCCGCAAATCATCGTACACACGCAGCCAATCTACTGTCCCCGCAACGGTAAAACCCACGCTTCCCCCATCCCCTCCACGCCAGCCGTCCTACTCATCCCCCACGGATGCCGAAAGGTCGTCGTCCCCCACTGGCTCCTCCGGCTGGGCTGCGCCGGCGGGCCTCATGTGCTCCAGGCCGCACGCAGAGATGCGCAGACCATGGCGCCCCCAGATCCACGCCTCCCGCTCCGCGTCATACTCCGGGTTGCGGATCCTGATCGCCCTCTCCACGGCCTCCTTAACCAGGACCTTGAGGCCGTCCACAACGTGGGCGTTTCCGCCGGCCGAGTTGGAAAGCCGGCCTTTCCTCTGCTCCCAGTAGAGGACGCAGTCGGAGACCTGCGCCATCACGCATCGTGTCACTCAAATGGTCCGACGTAAACAACACAGATGCATGGCACACATAGAGCGCACAGACTCACCACATGCTCCAACCAGGCCAGGTGGTACACCTTCAGCGTCATCACCAGGCCGGCCTTCTTGGGCCTGAATGCAGCCTTCGCACATGTCGCGAACGCCCGAGAGGCGAACGGCATGCCATCCCGGTCTGTCGCCCATGTCGTGAGCACCAGTGTTTCTGCATTCCCACGTGCATGCAGGTCAGTGTCAACGGCCGTCACGCACGAGGGTGACAGCATAACGATGCGGTGGCAAGCCTGGTTGCTGGGGTAGACCGCACTCACCAGGGGGGTCAGCGCCGAACCCAATGCGCTCCCGGATCTTCTCAATACTGCGTTCCTTCTCCGGTGCCCATGGGCTGGATGCGTCCCGATCGTCGCGGAACAAGCCGAGCTTGGGAAGTGCAATGTCGCGCACGCGGGCGGCAGCCCGCGTCTTCCACTCAGAGAGTGTCTTGTTGAGATCAGCGCGACGCGACTTGTCAGCCGCCAACGCCAAACAGGCGAAGCTATGCGGCAGGCGGTCCAGCACCGCACACACCCCGTGTGTCTTGTCGTCGCTGCTCGGGTAGAAGGTCATCATCGACGTCGGCCTGTTGAGAAACATGTGCACCCTGGCCAGCTCGCACACCCGCTGCGCACATAAGGTATACACAACAACATGAGTGGCGCACACCGGTATGCATGACGGTTGAATAATGGAACCGGACGGGAACGGGCCCGCTCACCTTCCACGCCTTGTCCGCAGGCAAATGCTCCAAGGCGCGCTGCAGAATAGGAGACCTGGCCGTGCGCATATGAGAGCCACTGGACGGCCGAGACATCGCATTCAAGAACAGCGCCTCCAACCGCGCGTTCTCCTTGGCGCTCTTGTCCTGAGCCTGAATGAGTTGCTCGAGGATACGGCTCGGTATGCGCACGTCATCGCTGTTGGCGTCCACTGTGTCCCAGCGTGTGGGTCCCACCAGTCCGTCCACGTCGTGATTAGCGCGAGTGTCAGCGTTGGCCGCGGATGGTCCCGCACGCCCATCGTCGTCCGTCTTCCCCCCCTTAGCGGGCTCGGCTGATTCTTCGCCTGATCCTGATGCCGACGTGTCTCCGCCTTCCTCGTCCTCATCCTCGCTGCGCTCGGACGAATCTGCACTCTCCGCCCCAGTGCCGTCATCTGTGGGTGACAGAATGACAACAGGCGCACAGAACCGCAAGTTAGCATACGCGCGCAACAACCGCCGCGAACGTCGTGACTGATCCACTCATGATCGTAATGCATACCTTCCTCTGGCTGCACCACCTCCTTCCCCTTCTTGCGGAAGCTCAGGCTCTTGGGTAAGGGCGCCCCACGGTTCCCGTTGGACAGTCGACCTCGCGGCATCGTCAACTGGTATGACGCTCGCAGGTACGCAGGCGGGAGCGAGACACGACGGGAGCGTCCCCCAGCTCGGGTATCCTCAGAAGCAATTGAGGTATCCATTGAAGCAACTGAAGTATCCAGTGAGATGCGCACATAATGACGCGATAACCACTTTTCTACGTAGCGGTGAGATGCTCAGCTTCCATGACACTCCGCTGCACCGAATACATGAGGAGGTTGGTACCCAATACTGCCTCGTACACATCTGGATGACCGCAATCCAAAACCCCCAATTACAGAACACCACGTCACTCGCACATTGACGGGTGTCCACCCCCGAACCATACACTGCGCACATCATGTGGTCACAACATTGTCCACATACCTTCATTGTGTGGACACTCGTCACGGAACTGGTTCCGGTATTCGTTGAGGCCCTTACTCACTTAAACATGTAGTACACCAAGTTCACGATTGCATTACCAGCTAACGGTGTTTGTCGTTCATACTTTGCACGCACAAGACTCTTCATTCCAAATGCAACATTATCCGAAAGCTACACAAGGGTGAGCAACTACGTGCACGGACATGTTTCAACCACACATTGACTCCACACCAATTATGCAGCCATCTCTGATGTCTTCTCCTCAGCTCCAGTGTCTTCCCTCCGCTCTTCCTGGTCATTGTCCCTTGCACCTCCGCCTTGCTCGTTTGTCACTGGGGCCGTCCCCCCACTCTCAGCATTGTCAGTTGCCGCTGGGTCGTTGGTAGCTGTGTGGTCGTGGTCCACAACCCTGCGCCTCTTTGATGCACCTGTTGCACCCCCACGCTTCCTCACTCGTTTCAACCGCTGGCCCACGCTCTCCAGCGCCTCACGCCAACTCCTCCACCTCCACCACTTCCTCGCTTCCACCAGGGTCTGTAAATCTTCTTTGGTGCACCCCCGCAGCGTTGCCTTCTCTGCGGCCGACAGGCTGACGGTGTTGGGTATCCTCTCGCTAGGCCTCAGCACGAACGCACCGGCGGCGTATGCAAATGCCGCCTCCTCCTCAGTGGTGTACCCTCCCAGTCTCTGCTGCTTGCGCTTCCCACGTTCTTTAAACAAAATCTTGACGCAGTACTTGCCGGTGTTCGGATCCAGCTTCACACCCGTGTACCTGGTTGCACTTGTATCTTCGCCACCGTCCTCGTCATCTGAGTCTGACACGAGATCCTCCTCTTCGTCGGCCTTCGCCGTCTCCTGCCCAAGCCTGTCTCCCCACACGTCAGGTCCAGCTGGCACACCCGTGCCGGACAGCAGCCGCGGGCGCGTCAACATCCAGGGAGGTATGGCCCCGTTCGAGATCAGCGGGTTCTGCAGCAGGCTCGGTGTCGGCGCACATGCGGCGAACGTGGAGGCCAGCGCCACCTGGGTGAGGTTGCGCACGCCGTCCTCCTCAGGACTGCTGTCATCTCGCCTCTTCCGGGCAGACGGACGCTGGGGTGTGCGTGGCGCATGCTTGTTGCCACCCGCCTCTGTTTTCGTGCCGTTCCCCGCGACCCCTCCATGCAGCAGCAGTTGGGTTGCAGCGGACACCACCTCGTCCCGGCTCAGGCCCACGAAGTTGGCGATCACGGTGAAGCTGGCGTCCAGGTACCTCACATCGTTATGCAGCGATGCTATGCGCCTCGTCATCTCCGTAAACCGAGCGTCCTCATCATGGCGAGTGTTTGGCGCCTGCCTCCCATCTCCCTCCGCAGTGTTTCTCACCTGCACCACTGTCCCCTCTGCGGTAACCAGGCCTTCGTCTTGCGGCGGGACTTCAATCCCCAGTTCCTGTAGTTGTTTCAGAAGCTCTCCGCCAGCGTGTGCACACAAGTCTCGGCGCATCTCCCGCCTGTATTGGTGCGGTGTCACACCCTGGAACCAGAGGCCCGAAAACACCGTGGCGAAGTCGGTATGCACCAGGGTCTTGAGGTACTGACAAACAAAAATCCCACAGTCCTCCTTGTTCGGCTGCTGTGGCAGCTTATCCTCCTGTCATAAGGGTAACGAATACCGAAGTTATCAGTATGCACACCTGTGTATGCAACCAGCACAGCTGTGTACAGAACGAACGAGGCGTACTCACCCGTAGAATTACGCAGTCCGCCGCGCTCAGCGTCCTGTCCACAACCTCCATGTTAGCGTTTGGGTTACTCCCCTTTGCGAGTTCGGACAGCAACCTGCATACAAGAGTTCGTCCGGTATTAACAAAATTGAGCATGGACGTATATGCTATGCGCTTCGTTATGCCGAAACCCCTACTCACAGCTTCGTGCCTGCGAAAATCTTGTGGCTATTTCGATTCTTGATCGCGCTGTCCAGCAAGACCAAAGTCAGGCGCTCCTTGCCCTTGGTTCTCTGCGTCTTGGTGAGCACCGATGGGTTTATAGCGATGACGAGGGAATAGTGCTCACTGCGCGCAAGAAGATTGGGGTGAAACGGGATCGGTGTTAAACAGCAGTCGGTTGCACATCACGGAAACCAACCGGGAACACTGGTAAGATGAGTACACTCACGACTCTAGGACCGGGATCGCAAGATAATCGTGTTCCAAAAGCGGCCGCCCACTCCCCAGCGTTAACGGCACTCCATGCGCAGCTGTCGTCTGTGAATAGGCCTTGCAGTCCATGGCGGCCCATGTCTTGCCGTCGCGGAGCGACGGCTTCCTGATGCTAAGCAGCCTGCGCAGAGGTGAACACGAACAAGTTAACACACCGTGCTACAGTGAATTCGCAGAAAATCGTACAAAAGCGCGCGCATGTGCGGGGCGGTCAGCACGGTACTTACACGTTGTGAAAGTCCACCACGCCATCGGTGATCCACTGTTCGTCCTCGATCGACATGAAGTCGTCCTTGTCCACCTCACATCCGACACCGCGGTGATTCATGAGCCTGATGTTGCGGTAAGATGATTTCGCATAGTTCCGGGCGATAGCGGCCACGACATCGTCCGGCACCGGCTCTGTCGCCTTTTCCACGACATGGGTCGCGAACCTAGAAGCCCTTCCGCCGTCCTTTGTCGGCGGACACGGAGGTGATTTTTTGTCGCCCTTGGTCAACGCTCTGGTTCTGGGAACAGAGGGGTCAGGATCTTGGTCATCGCCGCTGCTGCTAGTCTCCGGTTCATGGAACCGGTTGCGCTTAGAGACAGACTGTTTAGGAATCGCCATCAAGAACGGACACTGAATACCATGCGGAGGAGGCCGGCCTTAATACGAGGTGAGCACGGAGGGGATGACTGGGAGAACACAGCCACTCACGGATCTCGCCTGGAGGGAAGTACTCTGATTGACGGGTGGGCCAAGATGTCGCCTATAACCTGGTGGGTGTTGGGCATGCATAGGCGAAATGGTATACACCGTTGGATGAGATGCGCATGCGATGTCCACCTGTGACTCGATAACGAGACTGGATGTGATGGTGAGGCAGCATGCATATCCACGTGTTGTAAACCAAGGGGTTCGGAACACGAGGATGCGAGATTTAGGGTGGGTCAGCAATTCTGGTGCATGGAACACCATTTGGTTTTCCGGTACAATCCAAGTGACGCGGAATCCGATAACGGCGTACGCAGACGTCAGCACTTGGGTTGTTGGGCCACCAGCGCGCACTAAGTATGGGTTGTACACGATGTAGTCGTGTACTCTTAAAAGCGGAAGTAAAATTTGTAGGTTGTCGTAAACAATATTGCAATATGCATAACGGGTATATTACTTACATAAGAAATAAGACACAACGTCTTATGGAGCCAACTGTGTACAATCCCACAACGTCAGTTATTGGCTATTTCTATTTCTGGTCGTACTAATGACCGCGCTGATAATTCCGGGGAGTGTTATTTACCGGACCACCGTTACACATTCTGCAATTATAATATGGTTGTGCATTATGGTTGGGTGTATAATGTTTACCGGTGACAATCGAACAGATGGTATGTGCACACTTTTCAAGGTTCTGTGCACATGAGTGTGCACCATGTTGATCCTCTGAGTTGTGTTAGAGCACACCTGTGGCCAGTCCGAGTTTCTATCGCCACGGTCTCTAGGGTTTCAAGGTTGCAGGATGACGGGGAACAGTTGCATGGTGTGCGAGACGGTGTTTAAGGACGACAGCCGATTACAGTCACATGTCGCTAACGGTGCAATTTGTCGCGCAGAGTTGAAGAGGAAACGGGAGAGTCTTTTGTTGGCGGCATATTTGGAAGCAATTGCTCGTGACGGAGAGAGTAGACCAAACACACCGCCCGCATCGCGGCTTAAGGATAATGACGGCAGTGTTGTATCGGTTGCTCCGACCGCCTCTATTCCCGAAGTTAGCCTCGTTAGCGTCGCGGATACACCAGCTGACGGCGAGAATGCGGAGTCATCGGAACACAGCGAGAGGGCGGAGATTTTCGACACACTGACCGAGTTGTATCTATTCTTCCGTGACGCCGATCTTTCGCACCGGGAAGTTAACCGTCTGTTACACATTTTCCGCAACCCGCGCTTCAACTTACGGGCCCTCCGACGATGGCGCAACTGGGTGGACGTGCGCCGATGGGGAATGGCGCGCGCTCCACCAGACATGGTCCCGTGGAAAACGGAGGAGATAGTGGTGCGGGGCCCCAAAGGAATGCAAATGAAGCTGCTACTGCACTACCGCGACACAGAGCTGGTTCGTAAACGGCGGCCACACCCGCATCCCCCGTCGTCGTCACTGGGAAGGAATCTTGCCGCTCACTCCTGATTATATCCCGATGCGCGCAGATTCTGAAGAAGCTGGTGCGGACGTTCTCATCCAAGAAAGGGTTCGTGTGGAAACCTAAGAAGATTCATCGGAAGAAGAATGGCGAGAGGGTATTCGAGGGGCCGGAGACGGGCGATTGGATGCACGCTGCTCAGGTAAGTGCATCGGTAGGCCAGTCCACATTACATGTGAGTCCCAGAATGCTATAAGACGGAGTCTAACATTTGTGCAAGGGCATGTATGGTTGGCATGGCAGAAGGAGATTAATGACAGTGAGGCACTCATACTAGGCGTGCTGATATACAGTGATAGCACCCAGGCATCACGGAATGGTCGGAGGAACGCGTGGCCGGTGCTGATCTCGCTTATCAACATACCAGCGGAATTACGTGGGGTGGAGCCTGGGCACACGTTGGCGGCGGTGCTGCCATTCCCACCCGAATGGGCATCGCCCACGGAGAAGACGCGGGTTTTCCAGGAGGCATTGAAGATCATCCTCGCGCCCATCATGCGAGAATCTGCAAGGTACTGAGGTGCATATGCTACACGAGCAGCAGGCCAGTGGGGACCCCAGCAGATATTGCCCCGTGTTATGACCGCGTATTGTGTGTACGTTCCTAACCTAACTCACGGCCACGTGTGCATCGTCACAATGTGCAGCGGGCCAGTTCGCTTCTTCTACTGCACGGACGCGGACGGGAAGGTGCACAAAGCGGTCCCTTGCCTGTACGGATACCCTGCCGACTTTCCGGAGACCAGCAGAGCTTCTGCGACTCTTCAGCAGGGGACGCACCGGCCGTGCGCTAACTGCTATGCAGACAAGGGGGAGTTGACCATGATGGTGGGGAAGGCCGATCCGCGTACCCCCGAGATGCAGAGGGACATTGTCCGCCAGATCCTGGCGTGTAAGAAGAAGGGCGACGCTGACGCCGTGCGGAGGCTATGGTCAACACATCCGATCGAGGTGGGCTAAACCCTGAGGGCGTTTGCGTGCCTGTAGTGTACGGTGGAACCTAATGACGCGGTCGTGTCTTTGGTTGGACATTGCAGTGCGTACTTCACAGGTGGAATTTCGCGGACACAGAGTGGGGCAACGTGTATCTGGCATGCCTTGCAGACACACTGCATGTTCTGGACTCCGGTGTGCTGATCCACATGATGGACACCTACATCGAACCGCTTGGGAAGGTTGAGATGCGGACGCTTGAACGGTGAGCAGACTGTAGCCTGCATGTCATATCCTGGTGGGGTCATTTGGGTTGTAGTACACCATGTGTGCAGCGCTGATGGGCACGTCGAATACTTGGTGTGCGCAGACGCAAGAAGGAGTTTAAGGCCATCACGCCTAGCGTGCTCCTCCGAATCCCAGGGGGCTCATCGTTCTTCAGTTCCGGCGCAAACTACGCTGCGTTCGAGCACAGGAGCATGATGCAGATAATGCCGATCTTGGTGGCTGACGAGAGCGCGTTGAAGGGTGATGAACCGGGAGAGCTGCGCGCGTTGCAGGTCAAAGCGTTCAGGCTGTTTGCTGTGTTTTACAAGGCGTTTCTGGGTGTGGACCGGCACACACATACCACCATTGCGATTGCACGGCAGCATGCGATAGCGTAAGTGTGTGCATTAGGTGCATCGAGCGATGCGGTGGGTTTGTTGTGGCGGCCGTCGGGTGGCACACGAGTGTGCATTGACTGTTGCCTGCCATCGTGGACGATGTGGCAGGTTGGTGGCGTTGCTCCCGAGAGCATTTCCAAAGCAGGCATCCCACTGGAGACTACCAAAGATACACATGATAAGACATTTACTGGACAACGTGGTGGAGCGCGGGATGCCGCACCATTATTCCACTGAGATGTGGGAGCGCACGCACAAGGGCACGGTCAAGGGTCCAGTTAGAGGGAGCAACTGGAGCGACATTCCGCGCCGAATCGTGGAGGAGGAGGTGCAGAGAGAGGTGTACCGTGAGGTGGCTGCAGACGCCGGCGGTGGGCGGCAGTATGCGTCTGCATTGCGCGAGGTGCGTAGGGGAGTGGTTGGTGCTACGATGGCCATTCAATGTGTAATGTTGCACGGGTGCCCATGTACGAGCGGAGCCTGAGGCAGGTTGCGGCTTGTTGTGGGAACGTGGTTGTACACGTGCAGGCAATCAAGACGAGGAAACCGGTGCTTACAAAGAAGTATCGGATCATGCGCATAGGCGGGGCGTCGGATCCGGTGTACGATGAGTACACAGCCGCGCTTGGAGACGAGATGAAGGGGATGGCCGCGGAGTTTAAGGCGTTGGACCTGGCTACCAACAACATGCAGGTGTGGTGATAATGCTGTCGCACATACATCTCGTCTTAGCGGGCTTGCACGTTGGTTGCCACTGCACTGATGATGCTAAGAGATGTTGGATTGTACACAACCGCGTGACAGGTCCACACCGCGGTGGCCATTCCGCGCACAAGAGGCGGCGAGCTGGTGGCCAAAGGGACGTTTGTGAAGGCATCTCCACGAGAGAGGTGGTACTCGAACGTGGCACTTCTGAACAACAAGAAGGGGGACTGGTATGCAAGATGTCTGTGCATCTTCAGGGCGCTTGACCGTGATGGGGAGTGGAAGGGATACGCATACGTGAGGTACTACGAGAGGGCGGGAAGCTGCAAGCTTACAGGGTGCACGCAGCTGCACAAGAAAGTGGAGAAGGTGAGGTATTCGGTGGTGGAGCTGGGCAGCCTGCAGAGAGTTGTGCACGTGTGCCCGTCGTACAGCAACAACAAGGTGCAATTAGTTAACAGGTTTTTGCTATGTGAGTGACGGCACGTGTTGGTATGGTGGAACTTAGGAATGATGGGTACAGGATTGCAGGGAGTGTAGTCAACTGTGGTGGGATGTTTATACTTTGGGTGGTTCATGTTAGTGTTGACGCTGATGTGTCGCCACATATTGTGATGAATAAATGTGATATGGTGTCCGTGGGTGTACATTGGCATTTTGTGCATGGGTACGCGGTGGCAACCCTAAACCCGAAACGTATATGTTGGTGTTTAAACAGTGAGATTATAGTGGTAGCGGTCAGTAAACCCGGCCTATAACGGGTCTTGGTACGGTTGACGCTTGTGCGGTCGAAGTTGACGCGCTTCAATGTGTGGTGGTGTGACCGACCGAACACCCGCCGTTGGTTGGTCGGATACGGGTGACGCGTACGTGGCTTCGATTCGCGAGGTGGCCTATCTGAATGTCACAGGTGGCCGTTTCACATGTGTCCGTTATCTTGGAGCGGCGCAGGAGTTGTGCTCGCAAACTTGTGTGGCGCTTGTCAACCCTCGTACGTAGTGTGCGTACGAGGGCAAACCGGGGTACGTTCCAGTGAACTACAACGTATATAGCAAGACTGGGTGCCATCCCCCAACGCATACTTGCCCACCTGGGTGACACACAGCTTCAATGGGTGACCTGAAGGGACTGCTGGCTACTGCGCACCCGGACGATGTGTTCTGCTTCCACGAGATTAATTTTCTTCCGAGCCGCCTCCCGAAGACATACATTCCAGACAAGCGTAATGTTTGCGAGCGGATTGTCAGCATCGGCATTCTTTACAACGCGACGGGCAGTTGTTCCGCGGTGCCACTGGTGGTCCTATCGCCGTACGATAGGCCCGAGCGCAGGCGGGGGCGCGCGGCATCGCGCATGGTGGCAGTCTGATATACGCACCGCGGCCGGTTGACTCCGGAGGTAGGTGACAATTACACCTCGCTGTGCACCATGTCTGTGTCATGTTTGCAACGTACATGTGTGGGCCGACACACTGATGGTGTTGTGCTGTCGGTGTATGATGCTATGCTCGCAGGTGTTCACGGAGTTTGTGGAGACTGTCAACGGTGTGCACTTTAGTCGTGATCGCAACACACTCATCCTAACCATACACGAGGCGCATCGCATCACCGACGAGGTCGCGCGCCCCGTCTCGGAGCACGGCTTCAGTGTGCAGCACCTCACCAACACCCGTGTCGTCAACATACGTGGCTCGGTTCCCGAAGGGGGCCTTCCGCACCTGCAGGGAGTGGAGGACGCGCTGAAGGCCCATTACCGCGTTATGCTGATGAAGCGGGCGATCGCGGCGAAGCGGTTCCAGTTCGACTATGCCGCTTCTATCGCCGACGTGGACTACGGACTCATGCTGGAGTGGCTGGGGGAATCGTGGACCCGTGTGCGCGCTGCAACCATGCAGAGGAGCTGGTGGCGCGCCGGATGCGTGCCGCCGAGCTGGCCGCCGCTGATGGCGTACCTGAACGACACCAGCGCGACGGGCATGTTTGAGCCGCTCATTGCGACTTGCGTCGAGCTGCAGTTGCTCATCGAGAAGTTTAAGATGAGGCCTGCGTGCTACATGACGGCGGCGGAGTTCGTCAACTGCGACGCGGGGCTCTGCGTGGAGCAGGGGTTCGTTGCCACACCTGCTGCAAGCGCGTCGGATGACTCGTCGGGCGAGATGAGCCTGCCAGACGGCCCGCTGCTGCGGGACGAGCGCAGCAGGCGGCGCGTCATTCGCAACGTCACAAACGCGTACGTGGAGCGTGCCGATGAGCTCGGCATTCCCCCGGCCCTCGTGCCAGCAGAGGTCGGCGCATCTAACCAGGAGGTGATTTCCCGCCTCGGCAGGACGCCAGTTAAGCGTGCGCGAGCGGGGCTGCGCACGGAGGACATGGCAGGCCCTTCGGAGCGCAAGGACGAGGACGACGAGTGATGCAGTTGGTTGAAGTTGTGCGGTGTGTGCGTTGTGCGTGGTGTGCGTAGTTGGCGTTGTGTGTGTGCGGTACCGTACGCCTGTGGATGACGGGGTTGGGGTTGTATTGCTGTTGTAATAGTGCTTGGAGGATTTTAATGAAAATGGATGAGTTGGGGAACCTTGTGAGACATTTGACGGTACGCGTGAACTTCGTTTACGGTCCGATGTTATAAGTTGACACAATGGACGCACCGCGGTCACCATAACGCGGGAATTTCATCGGGAAATTTGTGCACACGTTCGCGACTCGGGGTGTAGGTGTGCGCTCCGGGAATTCGATAGCTTTGCGACAAGGAAACTGTAATGTCAGTTTTTTGTGTCTGATGTACGCGCGCGTTTCCGGTGTTCAGAATGTTGCGATTTGCGTGCGTTGTTTTACCGCAGCTTTCCGCAACATTCACGCAAGGCAGAGGCAGAAAAACCTTCGGGGGCCAAAAAACGCAGTTTTCCTTTTTCGCGATGAAGAAGTACATATGGCGGAGGATTTTCCCAACAGCGAGGTCGTGATGTACTACAGCTCTGCTGTTCTTATGCCTTATAACGTGGATGCTCTTGGCGCGTATGCAGGTACGTACACATGCTCGTGCGTGCGTGCGTGCGCGCGCTCGCGCGTGCACACACACTTGCACGCACACATATACACTCACTCACATATATGCTTACATGCGCGCACGGTGCATCTGAGGAGTCCAAACAAGCCATGCGTATTCCTCATACATCGTGCCAGTTGATGACTGCTCCTTTCTTCTCCCATTCCCCTGCAGGAGCCACTGCTTCCATCTTCCTCCTGCTTGCCTCCATCAGCCTGGCTCTCGCTGCACTCCTGCTGCTGTAACCGTACTCCTGATTCTGTAACCGCCGCACTTCTACTGCTGTAACCGCACTGCTGCTGTTTCTGCTGCAACGTGTTAGCAACATCAGCTCATTGAATAGATGTGCCAAACCATACGGGGACTCATGAGGGGCTGTAGAGTTCTGCTTTGCTTTGCTTTGCCTCCCGTAATTTGGGCCTTCTAAAAGGATTGGAAACGCCATTCCGTTGGTAGCTCACAATGCATTCCATCTATTTCAGTTATTTAATGGCATCTGCACTGCTTCCCATATTCCATCCCATCTTATCTCACATCCAGCATTATGGTATCTTCCTCTTGTTGCTATGCAAACCCTCTGTACCTACACAACAGTAGTCCTGCAATGACCTCCCTGGAAGCATGGCATTGTAAAACAAGCACCGTACCAAAACTTATAAGGAATGCTTTCCAATGCGAAGAACTATCACCACTGTATGATACCAAGCATCCTATTTAGAAAGCTTGCTTTCTTGCATGTAGCAATTGGCATCGTCTCATTTCAAATGGGTTTAGTACAATTGAAATCCAAGCAGCGTCATTACAATAATATGCCTCTATGTTATCAACGCTATCCTGCTTTCGAGGGGGGGTGGGTGGGAAGATCGGCTAAACCGTCTGAAATGAGAGACGTGGGTGGAGGGAAATGACCTTCAGCCCACGTTTTGTACTCCAAAACGGGCGTTAAGCGCGGCTCGACGCTGCCAAATCCTACATTACAGGCAGCTTCGCTTTCAAAATACATAATTTTAAAAAGCGTTACAGCTTTTGAAAATATACATTTCTGCAACTGCAACAGGCAGGCCCCGTCACGCCTGCCACAGCACTTCCCCCTTAGTTTTCCTTGCCCGCTCCACTAGAACATCCAAACCACCACCCGAAGCTGCTTCGCAAACTTCTCAACCAAGCCCCACACCACACACCTCAACTCAACCTTACCCCCACACCTGATAACCCGCTGCATACCTGCAAGCGTGCAGAGAGTCCTAACGCAAGACCAGATCAGACATCATATCATTTCAAATCATACCGCATCAGATCAGGCTTAACCTTGAGGCCTAGGAGGCCCATATTGCCCTGCACCTGCTGGCCCAGGTCCGGGGTACTGTTGGGGAGGGTAGGGTTGGGATTGAGGTCCGGGGTACTGCTGCTGCTGCGGTGCACCTGTGGGAAAACCTGGGTACTGTTGCGGACCACCTATTGGGCCACCTGGGTACTGTTGATGAGCACCGGGAGGGGCACCTGAATACTGTTGTGGACCACCTGGGTACTGTTGTGGGGCACCTGACGGACCACCTGGGTACGGGGGCGGAGGACCTTGCGGTGGTGCATACTGCTGAGAGGGGGGAGGCATGTACGGCTGTTGCTGATACTGCTGCTGCGGTGGCGATTGATAGTGTTGCTGCTGCTGGCAACCCATGGGAGGAGGGTATGATCCCGGGTAACCCCCCTGCTGCTGCTGATAGGCCCCTGGATGAAAGGGAGGGCTACCCGGGGGAGGCATACCTGGCGCGGGCTGGTAGGGCTGGGGAGGGGCGGCAGTGGGATAGGGAGAGTGACCAGGGGGAGGAAAGGCATGCGGTGGGTATGGGTAGGGTGCAGCTGTCGACGCAGCCGCAGAGGCATCACCACCACCACCTCCTCCACCTCCCCCTCCTCCGCCTCCCCCTCCCCCCCCCCCCCCTCCTCCTCCTTCCCCCTCCCTGCTGCGAGTGCGTGCCCCCATCCTCTCCGGATTCATAGACGGATACATAGAAGCAGAGGTCGCCGGACCTACCGCCGAACCTGCAGCAGCCCGAGGCAGCAACCCGAAGCTGCCCCCGGGCAGGCCCTCTCCCGCACCACCACTCCCCCCAGCCGCACCACCCGACCCTCCTCCGTCTCCCCCCTCTCCTCCCCCTCCCCCATCCCCCTCACCCGCTCCCCCCGCTCCCCCTGATCCCTTCTCTCCCCCTTCCAGCAACCGCTTCCCTCCCCCGTCCCCCCCCCCCTCCTTCCAAAGCCTCTGCTTTGGGTCGCCCCCAGTCTAGCTTGAGCCGAATCCCTTTGATTATAAGCTTGTTGGCGAGCCCCTCAGCGGCCTTCTCTGCCTCGTCGCGCGAGGAGAAGGTGATGAAGGCACAGCTGCGCGGGGTGATGAGACGGATGGACTCGACCTCCCCGAATGCATAGAACTTGTCCCTGCCAGAGGGGAGGGGGGGTGGGGCGAGGGACGAGGGGCGGAGTGACGCCAACAACAAAGAGTGTCTGATGCTCGTGTCCTTCGGCCGTGGCAGGTGAAACGCACATCACACCGCAGCACACCATACCCCACCCCAGCCCAGCCCGCCCCACCCCATCCCACCCCACCCCACCCCACACCACCTCACCGCACCACACCACTCACTTTAGGTCAGCTTCTGTGATGCGGGAGTCCACGCCCCCCACAAACAGCGTCTTGATGCTCGTGTCCTCTGGTGCTTCCAGTGACGGCATCTCCGCTGCCAGCCGCATCATCTTCTTTGCCACTGGGTCGTTCACCCTGCATTTGGAGGGCAACAGGAGGGGAGGATGGGAGAAAGAGGAGAGGGAACGATGGGCGAGCACGCAAGAGACGCCCCCCACAAACAGCGTCTTGATGCTCGTGTCCTCTGGTGCTTCCAGTGACGGCATCTCCGCTGCCAGCCGCATCATCTTCTTCGCCACTGGGTCGTTCACGCTGTGAGCAACAGAGGGGAGGGGGAGGACCGGGGGGAAAGGTAGGTAGGGGAAAGTGGGGAGGGAGAGGAGAGGGAAGCATGGGTAGTTGAGCAAGCCACGGCATCTCCGCTGCCAGCCGCATCATCTTCTTTGCCTCTGAGTCGTTCACGCTGCACGTGGGGAACCAAATGTGGCGGAGTGTGCAGCGTGAACGACCTAGCGTGACAGGGAGATGGATGTGGGGCGAAGGGAGGGCACCACAAACAAGGAGTAGACGTGCTGTGCTCTTTCCTCCCACCCCATCCCCTCCCCTCTTGCGTCCCAGACCCACAGTGCACCACCAGACTAAACCACACAACACCCCCCATCACCACTCACTCCCCCACTCCCCCAACACGTACCCATAGTAGCGATTCTTGAAGTTCTGGTGCGCCAGTTTCCCCGTGATGACCATCTCGTGGCGGTAGGGGCACTCCGGCCCCTTCAGAGCCACAGTGCACCATCGCACTACACCCTACAAAACCCCCCTCCACCTCTATCCCCCACATACCCATAGTAGCGGTCCTTGAAGTTCTGGTGCGCCAGTTCCCCCGTGATGGGCATCTCGTGGCGGTAGGGGCACTCCGCCCCGCGCGTGCACTCCCCGCGCACGAAGAAGGAGCAGATGTGCGCGCGGTTGCGCTTGTAGTAGGGCGTCGTGCGCTGCAGCTTCAGCAGCAGGTCGTTCGGCGCAGCCTTCCCGAACGAAGACTCATAGTCCAGCCCCGCGCGACCCTGAGAGGGGAGAGGAGGAGGGCGGGAGGAAGAGAAGGGGTGCATCAAGGGGTGCACAATTTCGCTTGTAGTAGGGCGTCGTGCGCTGCAGCTTCAGCGGCGCAGCCTTCCCGAACGAAAACTCGTAGTCCAGCCCCGCGCGACCCTGGGTGGGGGGAGGGGAGGGGAGAGGGCGGGGGGGGGAAGAAGGGGCCGGGGCGGGGCGGGGGCGGGGCGGGGGCGAGGGGAGGGGGTAAAAAGGGAAACGAAAGTTTCGAATCGCGAGGAGCCAGGAGGAGAATTGCAGAGAGAAAGGTGTGGCGGGGTTGAGGGGAGGAAGAGGAGGGGGGGGGGGGGGGGGGGGGGGGAGGAGGGGGGGCATGGTAAAGAGCAACCACGTTTTCCAAAGCGCAATGAAAGGGCTCAGAGAGCAGCGGCCAGAGCAGCAACGGGAGAGCAGCAGCGAGAGAGCAAATGGTTCGCTTCGCGGTTACCTTGCGCTAGTGCGCCTGCCTCCCACCATGCGCTCGTGCGCCTCCCTCCCACCTTGCGCTCGTGCGCCTCCCACCTTGCGCTCGTGCGCTTGTCCGTACCTTCCTGTCGTGCTCCTCCGCGAAGTACCCGCGGTTCACGTCGCTCTGCTCTACTCTGCTCTGCTCTGCTCTGCGGGATGGCGGTGACCACTGAGTCGACTCAACCATCAGCAGGTTACCACGTGTTTCGTGCCCCCCTCACCTTCCGGTCGTGCTCCTCTGCGAAGTATTCGCGGTTGACGTCGCTCTGCGGGATGGCGTCCGTGGTGTTGATGTTGAGCGCCGTGTCGCGCACCTGCACCGGCAGCCCGTACTCGAGATCCAGCATGCACACCTGCGGGGGGGAGGGGGAGGGATGGGAAGGGCAAGGGGAAGTTGGGGGAGGCGAGCGGAGAGCGATTGTCGCGCACCTGCACGGGCAGCCCGTACTCGAGGTCCAGCATGCACACCTGCGGGGGGGAGGGGGAGGGTGTGGAGGTAGGGCGAGCGGGAGTGGGGGAGAGGACGGGGGCGGAAAGCAGGTGTCCCGCACCTGCACCGGCAGAACGTACTCTGTATCCAACATGCACACCTGGAGTGGGGGGATGGAATAGGGTAAGGGAGAAAAGACGGGGAAGTTGGGGAATGGAGACTGGGAGCGGGTTCAAATTAGATAAAGGGCACGAAGCTGACCTGGAAGAGGATCTGAGTTTATAATCGAATCACATCATAACGAGGGCACGGAGCTGACCTGGCAGACGTTCTTGAGCTTGCAGCACGTCTGGCAGATCTCGGTCTTCTTGTAGCGCGCGTCGCGACCGGGCCGCCATCGGAACACCGTGAAGGGTCGCGTGCAGATCTTGCACTCCTTGTCGAAGCTCGCCTTGGTCTGACGAGAATAACAGCGTATTTAGAGCCGCGAAGTAATAGACGCATGTTAAAGGCGGCGAATTGAAGTTATAGAAACAGAAAGTGGAAAGGAGGAGATCCGCGAACAGGTAGGAATGATATCAAAACCTAGGGAAGGCTGAGTGGAAACGGGATTGCAGAATTAAGACTTTTCCGGAGCTCCGTGCTAAGTCAGCAACTAAGATCATTCAGTGCAGCCTCCTAGAGGTACTCCGTCTAGCGCTGTGTCTGCGAAAACCTCCATACGCATGAAACTACTTAATGAAAACAATACTCAACGACGGAAGGAATTTCTTTCGAGCCTCACCATGCGAACGTAGGGATTCGCTCCAAGACAAGTCTCGCAGATGATCGGAAAATCGCTGCGCTCCCAGCCATCCGCATCTTCGTCTCGTAACAACCGATGAGCCATGGCTCCTTAAAAATAAACGTTAGCCCTAGGAACTCTAACGCCGATGGAATCGCGAAACACGGAACGAAAACGAACGAGTTAACCAGGGGCTACAGCTACTAGGAAACTAGGAATGCTATCTTGGAAGGACGAGACTGTAGGCCAAGAAATGAAAGCTCAGGCAGTACGAAATTAGGGTTTTGAGGGAAAAGACTTCGAGGAAGTGGAGGAGAAACCAGGGAGGTTTGCTTCATTCTCTGATCTTGCTTGTGTCGGCAACTACACTTCCAAGACGAAGTGAATCTCATCTCATCTCGCGTATGGCAAATTTTGTGGATACTTCTACTTTGTTGTAACTCTGTTGGTTAAGTTTACGCGAACAGATTATCGAGTCATCTTATCGACACAAGACCTGAGTTTTGTCCCTGGGTTGTGTCAGAACAACCTCCCAGCACGATCGTTCTCCGTTTCGATCAACCAGCCAGTGGAACAACCTGCTGGTTCACCAGATCAGATGTTCAGCCAGATGTGCTACAGTGCTACAGAAAGCCGTACCCGACCAACTCCTGATGTCACTCACCCTAGCGCATAGCGAATGTGCTGGGTGTTGGCTTGCACCGCCGCAGCCTAGCGAAGTCGGCTGCAACCCGATGTATCCGTCGTTTACCAAATCTCGTCTGGATCTCGATAAGGATTGCACATTTCGCTACGACTGGTTACCATCGAGATGAAGCACCGTCAAGCAAGAGGCAGGCAGTTCGGCAGCGTGGGTTAAATGCCCGCGTCGCTTGTCACTGTAGAGCTTGCGCCTCGTTGACGATTCGCATCGCAGTCGAACGTCTCCACGTTGGGTGGTTCAAGATGCCTCGGGCTCTCCGCCGCTGCCCCTCCACTCCCCACCGCAGCACGGTCTTTCTACAGGCCACCAATCGAACAGATCTGCCTTTCCGCCCACCTTCACGGGGGTACGAGAAGGGGAAAAGGGGCAAAGCATTCTTGCCCTTCGACAACAGCACAGCAGTAACCGCACAATTACTGGTCTCCTCTCCTCCCAGCTCAAGCCAGCAACACCTACCTCGTTATCACCAGCCACAACAACTATACAAGGTAGCACACGCGCACGGCACTTCTTTTTCCTGCACGTTAAGTTCCACGTAGAGAGTGTTCTGTGACCTGTCCACCATACCCTCCAAATCCGTTAGAACCACCCTGATCGCAACGCGGCGTGGCTGGTCGCCATGGCTCCGTTCTGGGAATTCCGCGTTCACTCCGAGCCCAACCCGCACCCGCAGCTCGGCAGAAAGCCCCGACCCAGCGCGCTTCTCATCCCCGAACCCGTCGACCCTCCGCCCACCCCACGCCCCCTCGCCTCCCATCTCCCGCGCCCCTCCGCGCCGCTCCCGAAAATCCGCACCGAACCGCTGTGGCTCAATCAGCCGCCAGTTTTCTTCTCCAGCCATCCAATCGCGCCCATCGCCGAGCCCGCCGCCTCGTCGCTTCCGCCGTCTCTTGCGCCACCTCCGGCTCCGCGCCCTGCGCAGGCGCGGAAGCCGCGTCAGAGCCCGCCGCGGCAGCCGAAACTCTGGGACCTCATTCCCGAGCTCCCCCCTGCGCCACGCCCCTACAAGGTCCCCCAACCCTCCAGCGGCGACGTCCCTTCCGCCGCGCTCGTACATACTCACGGCCAGCCGTTTGCGCCGCCGTTCTGGCAGCCGGCCCCGCGGAATCCTAGCCGGCAGGTGTCAATCGGTTTCCCGACAGCGGGCGCTGGCGGCGTTATAGATCTGTCGACGTGGGGCTCCGCCAACACCGCTGCGCGCGGGGTAGGAACATTTCGGAGGGGGGAAAGGCCGGGAGAAATCCCGCAGATTCGAATGAATTCCAGCGCGGGCGCGAATCGGGAAAAGCGGGACACGCGGCAGCTTCGGAACCCCGCCGAATCAAAATCCGCCCAGGTCTCGCAGACTAGAGTTCCGCTGGTATCGCAGTCGCGCGAGGGGTCGACAGCGTCGTCAGCCGCGGCGCCAATCGCGGCGCGAGAGGCATCCGGGGGGGGCGCCGCTGCTTCCAGCGTTCCCGTTAAGGTGCGTTCATGTGTGCCTTTCTCTCTGTCTCGCGTGGGTGTCCGTGGACGGCAGGATGTCATGAGAGGGGAATGGGGAAGGAGGGAGGGAGGGAGGGAGAGAGGGAGGGAGGGAGAGGGGGAGGGAGAGAGGGAGGGAGGGAGAGGGGGAGGGAGGGAGGAAGGGAGAGGGGGAGGGAGGGAGGAAGGGAGGTAGGGAGGTAGTGAGGGGGCAGGGGGAGGGTACAGGGAGTAGTGGTTGGGAAGTCTGGTGGGGAAAAGGGACGAGGTTGAGTGCAAGAGTTCGTCTGAGGAAATTGCTTTGCGAAATTCACCTCATATTGAACTCAACTCAACTTCTTTCTTGCACTCATTGCTCCATTACTCCATTACTCTGTGCAGGAATACACACTCTCCGTTGGTGCAACTTCGTTGGATCTCGCACGGGCCAGGCAGCACCGAGACTCGTGCACCTGCTCAGTAGACTACGCCTCCCTCTGGGGTTCATTACTCTCTGCTGCTGCAGAAGTTGCATTGGTGGTTGGCGATGTTGCTTCGCTCATCGCCCCTCAATCACCCACGCCTCTTACACTAACAAGCAGTGCCGGAATTCCTCCTGCATCTGCTCGGGTTCCAACTGCTGCCAGCATTGCCCTTCTAACTGGGAAGGGTGTAGGGCTGCTGCAGGATAGCAGTCCTTCGTCGGTCCTCCAAAATCCGGTGTCCGATACCTCGTCGGAGCTCAGTCCTGACACATGAAACGGTTTCCACTGCTGCTCGTTTAACCATGTGTAACTCAATTTTCCTGAAAAAGATGAACATGAGTTCCCGGTGGTACTCAGCAACCTTAAGCAGCTTGAAATCATAATGATTAGTATAAGGAATTTTCTCGGCATTCCTTACGGGGCCGACTACATCGCGTACAGCAACAGCCGATTGTTCGCCCGTTACTGCTAACGGAACTTCGCCGACTTCGCGCGCACTGTTTTGCCAAACCTCGCACTGCTGGCATGGCCGTATCGGCCTACGCTTCGGGACTAGCCCGAGCCTCGCTCCAGCGTAGCACTAGCAAGCTCGCACGCACCGCGTTACCGTTTTGCATGTTTCGCGTATAAATGTTCGCTCATGCCTTCGCTCACATTTTGTACTCGTTTAACACCTTAGTGCAATTCTCGCTACCTCGATTCATTGCACCCGTAACACTTGGTTATCAGAGCCCCTTTCTCTCGGACCGCGCATCTCCGCACACCAGGAAATCAACTTTTGATTTTTCACTCGAAGGGACTCACGCACCTTAGCCCCTAGGAGCCGCTGTCCTCGCGTTCTCTCGTAAACGCGTGCAGCCACGACTGCGCCTAGACTAAGACGAGCCGACGCCCTTCGTCATGGCTGAAAATATCGACGTCACCACCCTCACGCAGGAGCGTTTGAACGATCTGCTGCGACAGCTGCACGAAAGCTCCGAGGAAATCGCGGCATTAATGGCAGAACGCTCGTCGCTGCAAAATGACCTCATGAGGGCACAACAAGCACAATCTCAAGCACCTGGCACTCCGATTCAACCTGCACCCTCAACATCACAACACGGGAGTGTGGGGCAACCCGTGAGCGCGGCCAGTGATGGCGTCGTCCGCCCCGACGGAGACGACGACCACGGCACGACACACCCCAGAGCGACGCATGCGGCCCCAAGTCAGCCTCGCGTCACGATTTCGGCACCAACCCACGATTCGGGACTGCCGTCACCGATGCCGCTGAAGCCGCAGCGCCCGCCATGCTTTGACCCGAGTCAACGGAGTGGTCCTACCGTTCAGGCGTGGTTGTTCACAATGAATGTCTTCTTCGACGCCAACTACGTCTCGGAGGACTCGGCGAAGATTCGATACGCCGTGTCGTTGCTGCGAGGACCCACCATGGACTGGTGGCGCGTCATCGTCACGAAGCCGACCGACTACGCGACACTACCGACACGGGAAGGACAAACCGGACCCTGGGCGCCGTCGTATTTCGTGGAGGTGCCCCAGTATCGCACGTGGGACGCGTGGTGCGCAGGTCTGCGCGCTCGATTTGAGCCAATCGCGGCCTCGATCTCGGCGCGACAGAAGCTCCGCACTTGGCGCCAACTCGGTTCCGTCCAGGATTACACGAGCGGATTTCTGGCGCTATGCGAGCAGGTGGGCTACATGCATGAGAGCGAACGCATCGACCGCTACATCGGCGGCCTGAAGCAGGACATCGCTCAGGAAATCCAGCTTCGCGGCGTCACTGAGTTTCAGGAAATTCTCGCTATGGCGGAGAAGCTCGACTTCTTTCGCCGACCGAGACCGGGGTCCTACGGAAACAACACCTGGGGACATCGGCCTCGTGGGACGAACGAGAGCGCCACGATACGCGCCGTCGCCGCAAATGCCGCTGCCGCACCGTTCAAAGGGCGCTGCTTTGCGTGCAATCGGCCGGGACATCGCAAGAGCGAATGCCCGGAAAACGCTAAGGGAAAGGGGGAAGCTGAGCAGCAGACACAGACCAAGCAGCAGGGAAACGCTGGAAGTCAGTAGCAGACGGGCCCTCTACTGACAGGTCACGCCGCTCGCCCGACCCAACCGACCCTCACCGAGTGATTGTGCCGGTTCACGCAATCGACCACACCCGGCCGGATAAGGAGGGTACCACGGTAGACAGCCCTATACTGCTCAGTGGGAAAATTGGGACGGACTTAGTTAAAATCTTCGTCGACGGGGGAGCCAACCACAGCCTCATTAACACTGCTACAGCACAAAAACTGCGACTGCCACTGGACCGATGCTTACCTGAGATCGACGCACGACTGTTTAGTCAGGAAATGCTCGCGACGACCCTCGACGGAACTGACATTTTACTCGGGCGTGATTGGCTGCGACGACACAATCCGCGAATTGACTGGACGACGGGTGACTGCACCGTGCGAGTAAACGGTAACAACATCGCCTTACCTCGTTGGGGCTCGCCTGGGTCTTCGTCGGTGCGTGTCAATGCGATCACGATGAAACGCGCTGTAGCGGCCGGAGCTGACGTGTACGCGGTTGACATTCGGGAAGCCGAGGCAGCAGACAAGGGAGGGGATTTACAGAAACCGCTGACCGACGTACCGAGTGATCTGGCAGCGCTGTTAAAACAGTACAGTGACATTTTCCTGGACGACCTGCCGACGGGACTGCCACCTCAGCGACCGCACGATCACAGGATAGAACTGGAACCGGGGGCACAGCCAACAGTACAGCGACAGTTCAGACTGACCCAACCCGAACTAGACGAACTAAGGAAGCAGCTCGATTACCTGCTCGAGAAAGAATTCATTCGCCCTAGCTCGTCGCCCTTCGCCGCACCCATACTATTCACACCGAAAAAGGACGGGGGGTTTCGCATGTGTATCGACTACAGGGCACTGAACAGGGTTACCATCAAATCCCGTTACCCCATCCCACGAGCCGACGAACTGATCGACCAACTGCGCACAGCCCGGGTTTTCTCGAAAATCGACCTCCGAGGAGGCTACCACCAAATCCGCGTCAACCCACCCGACTGCCCTAAAACCGCATTCCGAACACGCTACGGATCCTTCGAATACACCGTCATGCCATTCGGACTGACCAACGCCCCCGCCACTTTCCAAATGACCATGAACGAAGCATTCCGCCCACTTTTAGATAAGTGCGTCATCGTTTATCTGGACGACATACTGATTTACAGCCCTGACAGAGCACAGCACTTACAAGACATCGAAGCAGTTTTTAAAATCCTGAGTGAGAACCGCCTACTGACCAAAGCATCTAAGTGTGAGTTTTTACAGGACCGCCTGGAGTTTTTGGGACATGTTATTTCAGCTGCAGGAGTGGAAATAGACCCGAAGAAAATTGCGACGATTCAGGCTTGGCACGCGCCGACCAACTTGACCGAGTTGCAGAGTTTCCTGGGGTTCGTCAACTACGTGCGCCGGTTCGTCCCCGACATGGCGAAGCTGACTGCCCCGTTGACCGACCTGCTGAGGAAGGGGGTTGAGTACACGTGGGGGGAGAAAGAGCAGGCTGCCTTCTCGGCCCTCAAAAATATTTTGTGCTCCCCGCCCGTCCTTCACATTGCAGATCCCCACCGTCCGTTCGAGCTCGTCACCGACGCAAGTGACATCGCTGTGGGAGCAGTACTATTGCAGGACTTCGGGAACGGCCTCCAGCCAATCGCGTACGAGTCCCGCAAGCTACACCCGCCCGAACGTAACTACCCGATACACGACCGCGAGATGCTAGCGATCGTGCACGCGTTCAAAGTTTGGCGATGTTACCTGACTGGCGCCGACGTGACAGTACGGACAGACCACCGCTCGCTACAATACCTTCGCGCCCAACCGAATCTCAACCCACGACAGATTCGCTGGTTGGACTATCTCGAGTCCAATTTTCACTACACCGTTACGTACAAAAAAGGCGCATCCAACATCGCCGACGCTCTCACCCGCCCCACCGCCCAACTCCACGCCATCCTACTCGCCCAGACCAACCCGCTTTTTACTGGCCTATTCACCCACGGATACCGCACCGACCCATTTTTCACGACCGGAAATTCACAGCAACTGGCAGAAGCAAAAGGAGTCTATTACGTAAAAACAGGCACCAACCGCATTTGGGTACCCGCGTACTCACTACTGAGGGAGCTGCTGCTGCAGGAGGCACACGACGGGATTACCTCGGGACATTTCGGGGTAGAAAAAACACGACAGCAACTGCAGCGGTACTATTACTGGCCGGAGCTGTTGACCGACGTACAGCAGCACGTGGGCTCGTGCCCTACGTGTCAGGTGATGAAGAGTTAAAGGAAGCGGAAGGCGGGTCAATTGCAGCCGATCCCACCGCCCGAACGCGCCTGGCAGCAAGTAACCATGGACTTTGTCACAGGGTTACCTTCGAACCCTGGGGGTAACGACGCGGTGATGGTCGTCGTGGATAGGCTGACGAAGATGGCACACTTCGCTGCGTGCAAAAAGTCGATCTCAGCCGAGGAGACCGCTCGCCTGTTCATCGCAGCCGTTGTTCGCCTGCACGGGATACCAGCAGCAATTATCAGCGACAGGGACACGAAGTTTACCAGCAACTTCTGGAAGAACCTCTGGGAGCAGTTCGGGACCAGGCTACAGTTCAGCTCATCGTATCACCCCGAGACCGACGGCCAAACGGAACGGACGAATCAGACGATGGAGCAGTTGATTCGTGCCACGTGTGACGACCCCACGACCTGGGAGCAGCAGCTGCCGCTGATCGAGTTCGCGTACAACAACGCCACATCAGCCACGACGCAGCAGTCCCCGTTCTACCTGAACTATGGGCAAAACCCCACAGTGCCCATGACGCCGAGTCCGGACAACCCAACGCCACGTGCACAACAATTCGCCGAAATCCTGCAAGCTGCCCGCGCCAGAGCCGCCGAAGCAATAAAAAAGGCCAACGTCATCGCTAAGCGCAACGCTGATCGCCACCGCCGTCCTGTCACGTACCAATCTGGAGATTACGTGCTGCTTGACACGCAAAATCTGCGACTGCCCGACGTACCAAAATTACGACCGCGCTACTGTGGACCATTCCAAATCAGTCACATCATCACACCCGTCACCGCGCACCTACTGTTGCCAACCGACTGGTACATCAGCCCTTCGTTCCACGTCAGCCTACTTCGCCCATACATCCCGACCACAAGTCAACTGCTGCGTCACCGGCCACAATCAATGACTCGCCCTGCATCAGAGCCGATCATCGAGCCCGAAAAAATTCTGGGCCATCGGATCCGCCACCCCACGGGAATCAGGAGGATTGAATTCCTCGTTCGCTGGAAAGACCGCACGCCAACTGAAGATAGCTGGGTGCCCCTGAGCAACATCGAAAATCACCCTGCCCTGCAAGTGTACCTGAGGAGCCGGGGATTCCGCGATATACACGCACTCGCGTAGCGGAGGGGGCTTCTTAAGGGGGGGGGGGGGGTAGTGTAAGGAATTTTCTCGGCATTCCTTACGGGGCCGACTACATCGCGTACAGCAACAGCCGATTGTTCGCCCGTTACTGCTAACGGAACTTCGCCGACTTCGCGCACACTGTTTTGCCAAACCTCGCACTGCTGGCATGGCCGTATCGGCCTACGCTTCGGGACTAGCCCGAGCCTCGCTCCAGCGTAGCACTAGCAAGCTCGCACGCACCGCGTTACCGTTTTGCATGTTTCGCGTATAAATGTTCGCTCATGCCTTCGCTCACATTTTGTACTCGTTTAACACCTTAGTGCAATTCTCGCTACCTCGATTCATTGCACCCGTAACAATTAGATACAACACACCGTATTAATTCATAATACCGATTTTGTATCTAGACTAGAACCGGGTCTTCCGAGGCAAATAAGGAAATCAGCCTTGGGTTCGTAGGAAAAGCTTTTCTAAGAGTTACGGTTCGTAACTGCTCTGTAACTTGTTGGATTGGCCCGTTATAAGGGTAAGGTGATCAGATGCATGCCCGAATGGGTATTATATTTTTTGCCCGCGGGCAGCGAGCTCCCCCAGGCAGGCTCGCTTGTCTGCTGAGGTGTTCCCTTCAGGAGAAGCGCTCGCCCCAGCGGCCCAGCATCTTGGGCTAGCCAAGTGACGCTTCCTCCAGAAACTTTGCCTAGCTTCGAGGGGTGCCAAACCAGGCCTGGTTAGCCCGAGCCATCAGTGTGGCCCTTGCAAACCAGCCTTCCCTCGCCAAACCAGTTCTCCATCTGGGTCAGTCGAGAGGCGCCGTGAAGCTCGGAGAAGCGATTTGTTGACAAAGCATAACGACGGGTAGACCAGAGCAAAACCGCTAGCGTCATCCCGAATCGCGTTTCTCCGAACCATTCCGAGTCGCAAATTCACTCCAAACCCGAGGCAGAAGTGATCGCACCGCTTCCGTGAATGCAGGTCCCATGTCAATCAAGATTTACAGCAGGCAGCCTCCCACACTCTCCTCCTCGCCAGCTCATTCGAGGCACTGGTCGCCAAGGCGAAACCCACCTCGCATGAACAAATTTGTTTCCCTCCAGCTTTCGTTTTGCTCCTATCATTCCTGCAGAGCAGCACATTTTAGCACCAGTTCATCTTTATATACTGGTTGTCTAACGACGGTTCCCATCATCATGGCTCCATCGTGGAACTCCATCGTAGAACAAATTGCCGTAGTTTCCCAGCAGGAACAGCAGCAGGACGACAAGCTTCGATCCGGCCAGCTCCATAATAAGCCTGTCATAATACCGAGCCATGAGTGCACACAACATGCGCCCAACTCCGCGCCCCCTATCGGCCGCAAGCCGCGTCCAGCCGTTCTTCTTATCCCTGAAGTCCTTCCTCCGCCAGCTTCCCCTCTTCCGCTACCTCCGCACCCTCACCGGCGCCCCGACCAATTACAGGCACGCGCGCAACAGCAGCGGGGGGGGGATGCGCAGGGCCCGCCCAGGCGCGCACGCCAGCTCAAGATCTGGGATCTCCAACCCGAGCTCCCGCCCCCCGCCCCTCATGTGCGCCATGACTGCGCGCTTGCGCGCGCGTGCGCGCAGCAACCCCGCAATCTCCCGCCGGAGCTGCCGCCGTCCTCCCAACCGGACGCGGGACTGCTCGAGGCGCCTCAGATTGCGCCGTCGCTACTACTGGAGTCAGCACGTCTCGCCTGCCGACAGCGGGACGTAGGTTTAACGGACCGACAGATCATTAACGGACGCGCCCCTGGCGGACTGACGCTGATTTCCAGTGACGGCGCGTGCGGGGGCGGCGCCCCTGGGCGAAGCGGCGTGTTCTCCCCGGATGGCAGCGGGCTGTGCGGCGCCGCCCATTGCGCCCGCTGCGACGGGCTCAGCCGGCCGAAGCGATGGCCGTCGATCGGCTTTCCCGTGCGGCGATTCGTGCAACTCGCGCAGCAAGCGGCACAGGTGGCGCAGCCCGAGCGGCAAATCGAAGGGTTAGTCGCAGGTTCCAGTGACAACGTGATTCGGCCCGCCTGGCAATCGTTCCCCGCGTGCCCCGCAGATGTCGCCGATTCCGCGGAGCCTGGACTCTTCCGCGCGCGGACCGATGGGTTTCCGCCGCCTCCGTGCGCCTTCACCTCTACACCCGCGGAACTCCCTCTCGAAACGCCCCGCGCTTCACCACGCGTGGCGGAACCATGGGGCGGAAAGGCGGAACTGGGGGGAGATTGGCGGAAGCTTCCTCCGCCAGGGTGGTACCGGCGGCGGGATTGGGGGATCGGGAATGCGCGGAATGCAATCCGCGGGGTGTCTGTGCGCCCATCATCTGGAGCCGTTGCGCCGCTTCCCGCTCCCCCAACCGCGCAGCATGCTGCCCCAACAATAAGCCATGCTCCGCCCACAGGAGAGCGTGCTGTACACAGCAGCAAGAGCTCTATAACGCGGATGCACTCCGTCCCCACCGACCCCGAGCAAACCGTCGATGAATGCGCAGCGGTTGAAGCAGATCCACGCAGCAAAACCCACCGCGCCACGTGTCTCCCCATCAGCGGCGAAGTCATCCAGACCCACGTGGCATCGTTCTGGATGACTGTACTGGGACAGTTGGAGTTTCTGGGGGAGGTGTCATCTGCGTTTCTGGGGGAGGCTGTACCTGGCGGTCGAAACAGGCAGGCACGGGGAGAGGAGTGGAGCGGAGCACAGGCAGGGAGCAGCATTAGCGGGCTGTCGCACAGCCAAGGGAGTGAGCAATCCGTGGGGGCCACAGCAGCACTAGCGATGGGGGGAAGCGATGGGGGGAGATTGGCCAATGCTGCTGTGGATGGGCAAAGGGGTGAAGCTACTGCTGCCATGCGAGCTCGCCTTCTGGCTGACCCACCTGTACTTTCCGCAAACATACGCTGCCATGATTTCAGAGGCCTTAACGCAGGTGGTCCTACTGATGCTGGCGTGTGTGGCACTGCCGTGAATCTGGAAGATCTCACATTTCCTCCCTTGTGTTCCCCCCAGTCTCTCCCCATGGAATCCTCCTTCCTTCTGGGGGAGGTGTTATCTGCAGCGCCTCCTGGCCAAGGTACCACCGCTAAGAACCGTGCTGAACCGGGCCGGCCGTACCTGCGTGTCCGCACCACTCAGACAGGTCAGATGAACGACGTGGACACGTGTCGCAAGGGGACTGGCCACAGCCCGGCATCGATCCTGGACTCACCTGTTCCGTCTGATGACTCTAGCTGTGACTCTCGCCCTGAGCTTGCATGGGGCTAGCCAGCACTCTCCCTCGGGTATTGAGAATCTGATACCTGATACGTTTCAAAGTTGATGACTCTAGCTGTGACTCTCGCCCTGAGCTTCTATGGGGCCAGCCCACCCTCTCCCTTGGGTATTAAAAAGCTCACTTCTCCATAGGGTAACTCCTTGTTAACGACTATAGGGTAATTCTTCTATAGCTATTGTAGAATACTCTTTTAAAACACGCATCAGATACTCTGTTCAAGTCCAGAATTTCCTTGCTCTGCTACCTATTTGAACTGAACATGGTGTTGCAGGATGACATAACCAACTGTTGGGTGTGCAATAACCAGACAGATTTCTCAATTGACGTTCACAAAAACATGGGGTCGGGTCCTGATTAGGGGATGAGGGTTGGCATATCCACTAGATGACTAACGATACCATACCCTCATGCCCTAATCACACCCTCGTGCCCTGCTATCCAGTAGAAACACAGCAGGCACAGCTAGATCTACCATTTAGACTGCTGATTGCAGCAGTGGCTGCCGATTATTGGCATGATCTCACCATCATGTCATCATCGCAACTCTTATTGATTCACTGCCATTGTCCTCCGCATCCTCCACATTGTCCTCCGCATCCTCCACATTGTCCTCCGCATCCTCCACATTGTCCTCCGCATCCTCCACATTGTCCTCCGCATCCTCCACATTGCCCTCCGCATCCTCCACATTGCCCTCCGCATCCTCCACATTGCCCTCCGCATCCTCCACATTGCCCTCCGCATCCTCCACATTGCCCTCCGCATCCTCCACATTGCCCTCCGCATCCTCCACATTGCCCTCCGCATCCTCCACATTGCCCTCCGCATCCTCCACATTGCCCTCCGCATCCTCCACATTGCCCTCCGCATCCTCCACATTGCCCTCCGCATCCTCCACATTGCCCTCCGCATCCTCCACATTGCCCTCCGCATCCTCCACATTGCCCTCCGCATCCTCCACATTGCCCTCCGCATCCTCCACATTGCCCTCCGCATCCTCCACATTGCCCTCCGCATCCTCCACATTGCCCTCCGCATCCTCAACATTGCCCTCCGCATTTGCTCTCAATCTTCCTCCTCCTCATCCTCGTCATCGTCAAAGCCAATATACTCCAACACGCCTGCAGGGCTCCCAAATCGCCCCGAACCAGCCTTTCCCTGCAGCCCCTCAGTCCCACCCTCACCCTCTCCCGCCTCCTGCTCTCCCTCGTCCTCTTCGGAAATCAACCGCCAAAACCACGACGACTTAGAAGGCTTATCAGAGGAAGCATCGGAGAAGATGCCAAGGACGGCCGTCAGGAGTTCGTTCAGGTCAGCGGCACAGATGGGCGCTTCCCGGTATGCCCTAAGCTGCCTTTTCCGGTGCTGCATTTTCTCCTGCTGCGTTCCGCGCGCCTCAGAAACGTGCATCACTCGCCCCTGTAGCGCGATCCCCGCCGCTCGAGACGCGATTTCGGGAGCCTGGGGAGTCACAGCCCACCTGCGGGCCTCTGGCTCGTTATGCGATGCTTCGTTATAGGGAGCTGTCTTACCACCGTCTGCTGCTTCGTTAAAGGCTACCCCGCTGCTGTTAAATCGAGCCGAGACGGACAGGCCTCCTTGCTTCTTATGCCAGTCATTGTTCCCGAAGTGTCCATTCCCTGTTGCTCCTTGAACAGCATTGACCGCGTTGACATCGTTGAATTTGTCGCCTGATTCGACTGCTGCTTCGCGGAAATTAGCTGGAAGGTTCCCCAGCACCTTTGGCACGCCAATGGCGTGAACCCCTTGTCGTGGACTGGTAACCCCATTCCAAGGCTTCGTCAAGCTCTCGTTCTGGCGATTCGCACTATCCTTGAGAGCAGAACTGTCCCCGAGCCCCGTCAGGTTACCACACAGTGATTGTTTTCGCACATCGAGCGCGTAACACTTGACGGAGCGGTCGCTAGGGCGGCGCGGAAAGCCAGGCGCCACCTGGGAGACGTGGTGTCGGGAGTGGAAACTACTGCCGCTCTCTTCCTGCGCTTTCGGCGTCGGCAGCAGATCCCAGATCTTCGGCTGCCGCTGCCGGCGGGGCTGGCCGGCAGGCGGAGCGGCCGGCTGGGCGGGGAGTGGCGCGCGGGTTTGGTGGAAAAGAGGGTGCGGCTTGGGGGGGAGGGACGGGGGAGTGATTTCGGGGATTTGCAGCACTGGCGGGCGGGGTTTGCGGCCGATGGTCGGGGCGGGATTGTGGGGCGCGGGAGTGAAAAATGGAGGAGGGACGTCGAGGAAGCTACACAAGTCTGATAGCGACATGGCGACGGACTGACTGCGAGCGTCTGAAATCTCGGGAGTGCGATTACGAGCTAAGTTGAAACAGAAAAAGATGGAAGAAAAGTACTTAGGGCTCCTATCGAAAAGTATAGTCAAAGTGAGGAAGTTACACGGTTGAGGTACGGGACTGCGCCAATAAAATCGTGCAAGCAATAAAACTTCGGAAAGCAATAAAGTGGGAGATTGACACAGGCACACAAGAAAGGCGGCGGCCTTCATCGCTGCTTCTTCCAACTGTGGCGAGTGGAAAATGCTGAACTGCATCTGAGCTGGGTGGAGGAGAAGCAGTGGGTGCGGGGAAAGGACCAGGTCGGGCTGGCTGGAGAAACGCATTCGATTGGTTGACGTTTTGGTTCGGCCCCTATTCCGAAGCAGTGTCTCTCCGTTTCGTCCCAAACAGACAAGCGATTCAACGCAGCGCGGTCCATGTCTCTGTCGTGCTCGTCGGTCAACGCGAACGTGGCGCCTCGTGAACGGAGCTTTCGTTGCATCCACGTTCAGAGCGGATGACTCGCCATTGAGACGAGAGGCAGTGGTGGGTGGTTTGGGGAGTCTTGTAGGTTTGAAGGCCGAGCCAGAACAGGCTTGGTGAGAAAGTGTGATCGCCAATAAGAAGGCTGAGACGGCTATCAAACTTTGTGGCTGCCGAACCAAGAGGCGCGGTGGTGCCACCGTTCCACGTTTGTCACCGTCCACCTCGACAAAAGGCGATCTACCCCCCACCACTGAGATTGCCGAACCTGTTGGTCACCGTCACAAGCGCCACCGCCGTAGAACTCGCTACTATCATAGCAAACCATGCACACAGCTTCATCCACCAGAATTCGCTACTATCATAGCAGACCATGCACACAGCTTCATCCACCAGAACACAAGTCATACTTGAACATCATATTTATGAGTTTACCATCAAGTCAGGGTAAATTATAACGAACACGTTCCCTCCCTTCAAAGTTTCAGTGCGCCTCGCCAACGGAACAAATCAGGCCTGTCTTGCCACTGACACATGTTCCGAAATCTTCGAGGCGCATTCAGAAGTGATGATGTGTTGCTGACGCTCCATTTTTTTTTTTTTAATGATAATTGTAAGTATACACCGACAAGACAAGCATATACTGACAAGAACGGTCGTAACCTTGCGTGAGGAACGAGAGGGGACCTCTTGCTCCAGATAAGATTCTAGGAGATGAGCTCTAGCTAGTCTAGGGCCTCTCTTCATCCGTCCTCGCTTCGTAAAATCAAGGTAACTTTGGAAAATCGTTTCCACCGAGATTAGCTTGTTCTGGCGTAGCTCATTGCCTCAAAAGCTCACTAAAATTAGCAGGCCACCTATCTCCGACGTATGTGAAACACCACTGTTCTGCTATTACTATCTACAAACATTACATCTAGGAGTCCGTGTGCACCATGGGAAGCGATAGAAAAAGCATAGTCGTTTTTCACTCGTCCTTGCGCGCTGCGGTCCACTTACTCCTCCTGGCAGCGGTCGCATTCCTCGCGTTGCTTGGATGGTCCTGCAAAAGTCGGGACCTCACAGCGTCGCTCTCTAATCTCCTGATCCCCTCACACGTCACGGCATCAGAGGAAATCAAAGCTGGATTTCCTGCTGACGGAACTGAAAAATCGCGAAGAGATTATGCAGACTCGTATCATGGCGAGGTTGTGTGCTGGTGGTCCGGGGATCACGGTGGCTATGACGGAAATGACTCTTCTTGGTCGAGCCAGATCCATGGTCCCGACGACGAAAAGATTCTCTCCACCGCTCGTAGTACTACTATTAGTACCGCTCGTAGTACTACTATTAGTACCGCTCGTAGTACTACTATTAGCCTCAGCGGCGCTGAGGCTAGCGCTACTACCGCTCGTAGTACTACTAATAGTGGTAGCCGCTCGAGCGATAAAAACCGAGGTCGAGGAGGCGTAGTGATTTTCGGACCAGGATGTCGCCATTGCGTCGCTGGCCGACTGTGCACCTTCGAGATCGTCGTGCGACGGCCTGCGACGTGGACGGTGCCGCCAGGCCTGGCGTTCAAGCACGAGCTGGCGGTGCAGCTGGAGGGACCGTCGCTCGTGCGAGCTGACGTCACGGCTGAGAGAGGCGACGTCAGCAGATGGCGGGTGGCATACCGCGTATGGGACGCTGGGTTATACAAGTGAGTGAGCGTACATATCCGTCGAAGTGAAATAAAAGCAAAAAGACGTAAATATGTCGAACACAGGGCTACTAGCGAGCTATTTGTACCTGACCATTCCCTTCCATCCATACCCTTCGCAACAGAGTGGTCGTTCGATCCGGATGCGGTTCCCTGAATTACTCCTCTTCCTTCACTCACGCGCATGAGCACGACATGGCGCAATGGGCCCTCGCTGTCCGTCCCAGTGGCAAGCCCGTGACCTCACTTCCAGCAGCCCGGCTCCAACACGAACCTTCCTTCTCACTTTCCGAGGCAGCAAAGGGGCCGGCTGTGGCTGATGGAGTGTTGGGTTCAGCCTGTGACCATGGCGCCGCTCACGGCCGCTGGCTATTGGATGTCAGCACCGGAAAATACAGGTGAGACTGATGATCTTACCTATACTCCACTGGCGCATCTGTAGCCTTCAATCCCGATAGCTCATGCACAGCCGTGTTTCTCTGCTACTCCCCTCCTGCTACATTTACCAGATTTGGCGTCTAGTAATAACGCTCATTCTCTGTTCCTTCACTCCCTTTGTACCTCCACCTCACGCATCTCAGGTGGGAATTCTTCCCGTGCGCTGCTCCCCTTCCTCCGCCGTCCCACTGGGTCTCCGCCTTGGCATCACGTGGCATCAGGGAGATCAACTTCGTGGGGGACTCACACCAACGCTTCCTCATGCTGCACCTCGCTTACCTCTTGACGCACAGAGTCAATGACTCGCACGTGGACTATCATGGGGATATCTCCATCTCTGTACCTGGCCCTGCTCCAGCCAACGATGTAGCGCCACAGGGAGGTGGTGAATCAGCGTCGGGCGTCCGATGGGGTCTTAGAGGGGAAAATGACGGGACTCAGCAGCGAGAGCAGCAGAACAGCAGGAGTTTGGGGGACTGAAGCTGAATTTCTACTGGGTTGGCATATTCCAGAATGGACAGTTCGGATGCGAGTAAGTCTGCAGCAAAACACGCTCTTGTTGAAAACTCTATGTTCACCACAAACTTCAGCACGAGTTTGCATGCATTTCATGCTGTGACACCTATTTGGTCCAATTTCATCCTCCCTCCCATTCCCACTCCAGGCGAAGGGGGTTCTACTCTGGCAGGCATGACTCCTTCCCCAACATCTCCCTCACGGCTGATGTCACAATCATTGATGCTGGCGCCTGGTCCGGCTATTGCAAATCCTCAAAAGTTGCTCCCACTTAATCTTCCCCCCCAATCCCTCTTCAGGCGAAGGGGCTTCTACTCTGGCAGGGAAGATTCTTTCCCCAACATCTCCCTCACTGCTGATGTCACAATAATTGATGCTGGCGCCTGGTCCGGCTTGCTCTGTGAGGAGCCCGAGAGGGCCTACAGCGTTCACCTGCCTGCCTTTCTTGAATGGGCAGACGGGCAGAGGCGTAAAGCAGAGGCACACCACGAGAGGGAGTACGTGGAGCTACAGACGGCAAACCTTAATGTTGCTGATTTGGCAACAGATGGTGGTAGAGGGGGAGCACCGCGTGGCGCTGGTTACGGCGTCAACGGTACCAGTACCGGGATGCTAACACAACACATGTGGAGGCCAAAGTTTCTGTTTCGGTCCATTCCTCCAATTCGGCGGGTCAACGTGGATTGCTTCACTCCTACACCACCAAAGCCATTTTCGTTACATCCTTCGACAAACTCGCTCATCGAGTACATGAATGGGCTTTTACAGGTGCAATTACAGCGCTACAGTATACAGTTGCTTGATGGATGGCCGCTGGAAGCTCCAAGGCACATGGATACATGTGGTCCTACAAACATTCACTACACTTGTTACGATGCTGGTGAGGGAGGAAGAGGGGTTGAGAAGGGTTGGCTGTATGGTGAAGTTGGTGAGGCTATGGCGAATCTTACAATGCACCACCTGTTGTATAATCTGCATAAACAATGAGATGTGAGAATGTACTATATTCCAACTTCGGTCTATCTTGCCTTCGACCTGATCTGTGCCTCCAGACCAGACGCTCACGCAGAGTGTTGTTGGTGCAGAGCTTTCAGAATGTTACACGGTACCAATGCTGTGCAATAATGAGCTTTGACTATCAAAGTTAGCAAACACCATTGTTCGAATCAACAGCATTGTGCAAAGATAGTACACCATTCCCCAACAAGCCACATCAACGGATTGGCTGATGCTACTGTACTAGAAATGGCACAAGCAGGCGTGCGTATCGTGGAAACACTTCCTTAGGCGGAAAGCTCCTGTCTCGACAACAGTAAGAACCTACCGGTACAGGTACTAGTCTGGCCATCTCCAAAAGCTGCCCCATTGTGCCCCGCTCCAATAAGCCACCTCATCGAGCTTTTTGCTTCCAGAGATCTAGCTGCTGAAGCAGATGAGAACCGTGCTGCTGCCGCGCGCACCCAGAGAGGGAGGGGCCTATGAGTCGACCCTCAATCTTGAAGATACCGTGACTTGACTCCAAAGCCCATTTTATTGCACGCCGCTCCACCGTGCGACCTCCACAAGCTGGCTGCTGCCGAAGATGCGCGCACCAAGAGGCCTTAAAGCCTACGCACTGTAAGCTCTCATAACGCAAAGAACCATTTTACTGCACGCCGCTCCACCGTGCGACCTCGACAAACTGGCTGCTGCCGAAGATGTTGTTGCTGAAGCGGATGAGAACAGTGAAGATGCGCGCTCCCAGGGGCATGCTGCGGGCCAATGGTGACGATTCCACCACTCGCTCCAGCCCGTTGATGATCTGATAGCGCGTGTTAGATGACACTGCCATGAATCCACCTGCAGTGAAGAGGAATTCAGGAAGAGAAAGGGTAGGATTTAAAGTTCGCCGGGGGGAGAACAAGACTCCACCACCCGCTCCAGCCTGTTGATGATCTGATAGCGCGTGTTGGATGACACGGCCATGAAGCCACCTGGGAGGAAAAACAAGTGGGGGGAGGGGGAAATCAAGAACAAAGGGTAAAGATTGGGATGTGTTCGGAGAAAGCGAGACGACTCCATCACCCGCTCCAGCATGTTGATGATCTGATAGCGCGTGTTGGATGACACTGCCATGAAGCCACCTGAGGGTGGGGAAGGTGGTGGACGAGGGGGGAGGGGAGAGGCACGTTGTCACCAAACACACATGTACAGGGGGTAGCGCATGTACAGGGGGTAGCGCATGTACAGGGGGTAGCGCATGTACAGGGGGTAGCGCATGTACAGGGGGTAGCGCATGTACAGGGGGTAGCGCATGTACAGGGGGTAGCGCATGTACAGGGGGTAGCGCATGTACAGGGGGTAGCGCATGTACAGGGGGTAGCGCATGTACAGGGGGTAGCGCATGTACAGGGGGTAGCGCATGTTGGATGATACTGCCATGAAGCCACCTGGGAGGCACAAGTGGCGTGGCAAGGGCGGGGAGGCAGAAGTGGCGTGGCAAGGGCGGGGAGGCAGAAATGGCATGGCAAGGGCGGGGAGGCAGGGAAAACGGGGGATATGGGGAAGGGTGAGGACTCGACGAGCCGCTCCAAGCCGTTGATGATCGGATAGCGCGTGTTGGATGACACTGCCATGAAGCCACCCGAGGGGGTGATGAGGGAGGGGAAAGGGTGACGAGGGAGGGGAAAGGGTGATGAGGGAGGGGGAAAGGGTGATGAGGGAGGGGAAAGGGTGATGAGGGAGGGGAAAGGGTGATGAGGGAGGGGAAAGGGTGATGAGGGAGGGGAAAGGGTGATGAGGGAGGGGAAAGGGTGATGAGGGAGGGGAAAGGGTGATGAGGGAGGGGAAAGGGTGATGAGGGAGGGGAAAGGGTGATGAGGGAGGGGAAAGGGTGATGAGGGAGGGGAAAGGGTGATGAGGGAGGGGAAAGGGTGATGAGGGAGGGGAAAGGGTGATGAGGGAGGGGAAACGGTGATGAGGGAGGGGAAAGGGTGATGAGGGAGGGGAAAGGGTGATGAGGGAGGGGAAAGGGTGATGAGGGAGGGGAAAGGGTGATGAGGGAGGGGAAAGGGTGATGAGGGAGGGGAAAGGGTGATGAGGGAGGGGAAACGGTGATGAGGGAGGGGAAACGGTGATGAGGGAGGGGAAAGGGTGATGAGGGAGGGGAAAGGGTGATGAGGGAGGGGAAGGGGTGATGAGGGAGGGGAAAGGGTGATGAGGGAGGGGAAAGGGTGGGAATGTTGAATCAGAAAAAAATGAATGAATCCATATGGGAGGTGGCAAGGAGAAAAGAGTATATTTTTGGGGAGTGTGGTCGTGGATGGGGGTTGCAAGAGAAAAGAGTTGGAGTGGAGTGAGGGAGAAGAGTCGAGCATCAGAAAGGGCGAGGGACAAGCGTATGTCGTACCACAAAGAAGAGCAATGAAAAGCAGGCAGAGAATCGACTTAATTTGAAAAAAAAAAGGGTGTATCTCGTACCCCAGAGTAAGGCGGTGGGAATCATGCCCGGGATCTTCACCTCCTCCTCGTGCTCCCCCGGCTTCCTCAGATTCCTGCCCCCCCGAGTGTGCCACACACAGGCACAGAGAGACAAACACACGCACATAGAGACACAAACAGAGACACGCACAGAACCACAAGTGAGTCGCAGGGAAGTGGCATAAGGCTGAGGATCTTCACCTCCTCCTCCTGCTCCCCAGGCTTCCTCAGATTCCTGCCCCCCCATTGCACACACAGACGCAGAGGCGGAATGCATGGACGTACGTGCAAGTGAGTTATCAACACCGATTGCACCCCTCACACTTCCCATCCCCCCCCTGCCCTTGCAAACACAGATCTTGACTTCTCATCACCCACTTCCCTCCCCACCTTACCCAACCACCACGCACCGCTTGATTTGCACAATAGCAGTTGTCATCGCCTGGCCAATCAGACCACAGCTGAATCCCACCCATCTCCCTCCCTCTTGAATATCCCATCTTCCCTCCTTTTCCACCCCCCCTTTCCACCCCCCTTCCACCCGCAACCAACACGCACCGCTTGATTAGCACAATAGCAGTTGTCATCGCCTGGCCAATCAGACCACAGCTGAACCCCACTACAGCATACTGCCCGCCCTTCACCAACCACGTCGCACCCCTCTGCACCACACTGTATCTCCTCCCAGGCAGCGCCGCCTCAAACATGCTGCTGGGAAGCGCCTCCAGAGCTGCAGCCAGGCCGGGCGGCACCAAGCCTCGCCTGCCTCGGGCTGCCGAAGCTGCGGCGCTGCTGCCGAACCTAGCCATGGGGGCGAGCATGCTGACGAGGGCAGCGTCTACAGCGAATCCCACGAGGATATCTGACATATAGAGATCAAACTCCTTCCAAAAGTCGTCTCCTCGTTTCCGCACTTCAGCAAATGTGGCACAGCCAGAGTCGATAACGATCTGGTGCAGGGGTGGCGAGGGGAGAGGGGATGGGAAATTTTTTATTCATGTGTTTATTCATGTGTTTATTCATGTTTTATTCATGTGTTTATTCATGTGTTTATTCATGTGTTTATTCATGTGTTTATTCATGTGTTTATTCATGTGTTTATTCATGTGTTTATTCATGTTTTATTCATTTCTGGTTTTCTGAGGCACCTCAAGCATCATCTCACTTCAGCGAAAAAGGCACATCCAGAGTCTACACTACGATCTAGTGCGGAGGGTAGAGCGGGGAGAGGGGACGGTGAAGGGTAGAAGATAAGATTGTGAGTCCTACCAGGGTTCGGGGTTTTAGCTATATGCCAGGGGTTCGGGGTTTATCTTGGAGATATCTATTCATTGAGAACCTTGCTGCAACAGCGATCTCTATAGCGAATACACCATAGTGGAATATCTATTGGGTTCAATCAGCTCTCGTTACAAGCACTCGCTATAGGAACATCTGGTTAGAGTACCTCCCAAATACAAGCACATGCATATATGCGCATCTCTGTGAGCACTTTGAAGAGAGGAAGGTGGGATCCGCCAGCATTCTATCGTGCGACTCGGCGTACTCGATATAGGAACGTCTCGTTAGAGTACCTTCCAAGATTTAAACAAATGTAAATTTACGCACCTCTGTGAACACTTTGAAGAGGAAGGCTGGATCCGCCAGCAGCCTATCGCGCAACCCAGAGAACGCGCGAGTGGCGGCGGCGAGAATGCCTCCGCGCACCTGACGGGGATTGTGAGAGCAGGGGGGAAAACGGGGGAGAAGGGGGGAGAATGAGATAAAGCGGGAGAGAGGTCGGAAAAAACCCTTACAGTGAATGGAGGGTGGTCGAATGTAACATGCGTCCTCTCAAGGCTCAATGAAAAAATAAGACTATATACGGTAGAAAGACCAGGCCTCGATATAGTCACACCGACCTGCAGGTCGATGTATCGCTGCAGCAGCAGCTCCGCAATGCCGTGCTCCTTCACATGAGCCAGCATGTCCTCTGGTAGAGTCACACCCGCCTTAGATAACGCCTCCTCCGCTTGCGCCCAACCCAGAATCGGCCCGTAGTCGCTCTCCGCGTCCCCCGCATTTCCCTCTCCGCCAAGTCCATCCCCTCCCCCTCCCCCTCCGCCTCCGCCGGAGCTTCCCCCCGCGCCGTCACCTCCCCCGCCGCCAAGCTGCGTCACGTAACCGGCAGATGAAGCGGCCGCGCTTGTGGCGACCGACGGCCTTGACGGTTTGCCGTCGGAGGACCTGGATCTGCCGTCCCAACCGGACAATGTAGCAACGTTCGGGTTCAGAGCGGTGGAGATCGGTAGATCGTTAGACGGATCTGCGCTTGCAATGACGATGACGGCGAGGTGGCTCTTCGAAGGGGCATTGCTTGTCGCGCGGAATGCGGCGGTGGGAACGGTAATGGAATGCGAAGGCCGCACGGTGAAAACCGGCTCCTGGGATCGCCAGCCATTGGATGACGATCCGACGGATGTCGTGAAGCCTAGAGCAGCTGCAGCGGGGTTCGCTAAATGTAAGGCCATGGCCAAACGATCTGACGCGATTCTCGCTAAGAGCTTGCCGTTCGGACGCGGCGGATGCACGGTGCGTGAAAGCTTCTACCAATGATGCATCTGCAATGTGGTCAAGGAGGTCTATTTAGACCAGGTCTGCAAGCCTGGAGTTTCCGTGGAAGCGAGGGTCGATACGACACGACGGATCAGAGGATCGATGGATCTTCCGAGGGAGAATTGTGGAAGGAAGGGTAGGGAACTTCCGAGGTTTTGAAATTTCAAAAGCGCGAAACTATTGCACGGGACAACTTCAGCTGCAATCCAATTAAGCCGACGCGGTTCGCGAATGCGATCCCTAACAGTCCGCCTGGAAGAAGCTGATGGGTCATAATCTGCCCGCAGTCTGAAAAAAATAAACCCCATCTGGATGGCATGCGATTAGGGGAGCTCTAACCCTAAACACGGGGAGCCCCAACCCTAAACACGGGCAGCCGCCTGGTTCTGCCCGAAAAGATTACATTCGCAAACTCGCACTGGACAATTAGATCGCAGTTCGAATTGTCCGATATTGCACCCCGCTCTGTACGCGATATGCGAACATTGTTGTACCGTGAACACTGTAGCTGCGGTGCTCCGCTCTGCCACGGTTCTGCAAATCTGCAACTTCGCCTTGCAACCGCAGCACATTTTGTCCACGTGGAGCTCAGCCAATGGCTCGCTTCTAGATTTCCCACCAATGAAATTCGTGTGTGATCGAACCAGTCACATTTATCCCCGGAGCTTCACTCCAAATCCTCCATTACTACGTATGCTATTCTATGTCGAGAATACAGCAGCTACAACAACTGACCACCTCATTATCGCTTTATTATATGCTACTCCATAATGCTCGGTGCAACTCCGAAGGCTTTAGAGGCTTGGTGATGAAGCTATCCATACCCACCTCCATGCACCGTTCCCTATCCGATGCCAAAGCGCTGGCAGTTAGAGCTATGATGCGTGGCCGACGTATACACTGCTCCCGACGGTATTTACAATTTTGGCCCCCACTGTCCTGATCAGCCATGGCAGCGATATCTGTTACTTTGTCCTGCGAAGCTGCTGCAGCAGCCGAAGCAGGGGCGGCTACACTGCAGTCGAGGCCGCTGCTGGCGCCGTTACTATTGAAATATGGAACCATATTCTGATCAGTATAATGTTGCCGAATGAGGCGCGTTGCCTCAAATCCATCCATCTCAGGCATATGACAGTCCTGTAGTCACGCGCATGAGGGTACGTCCAGAAAAGGATGCACGAAAACAAGGAAAAACCATGAGAACAAGATACTGTGCAGCAGACAAGTCACCACCAGCTGGTTCACCCCGCACACTCACAATAAGATCCCTTGAACGCCTCACTATAAGACGACTCACCATGAGCACAAGGTCGTAGTCCCGCTGAGCGCACTTATCAACGGCCTCACGGCCATTGACGGCCACGTCACACGCCACGCCCAGGCTGTGCAGCATGCGCGTCACCACCAGCTGGTTCACCCGGTTGTCCTCCGCCACCAGACACCTCATCCCCTCAAACGGCGAGGTCTTCCCCTCTCCTTCCTTGGTGCCACGCCCCTTGCCCTGCTGCTCTCTCCGCCCTTCCTGCTCCCCCTTTTCTCCCTGCTCTCCCTCCTCTCCCTCCTCTCCCTGCTCTCCCTGCTCTTCCTGCTCCTGTGATTCTTTATCCTGCGCTTGTTCTTCATTTGAACATCGTCCATTCCCCTGAGTATCCGTCTGCTGCCTGATACAGGCTCTCTTGACATCCCGGTCCATCTCATATGCCTCTCCTCCTCTCCTGTTCCCACCAGCATGCGCCTCCACATCCTCCTCTGCTGCTTCAGCGGATTTGAGGCGCCCCAAAAGTCGTTTCCTGTCAAGCACTCCCACATCGGCCTCTGCTGTTTCCAGCCCTGGCGTGCCACCGCTGCCACCGCTGCCGCCGCTGCCCCTGCTGCTACTACCCCTGCTGCCACTGCCACTGCTGCCATTGCTGCTTCTGCCACTGCCGCTGATGCTGATGCTGATGCGGTTACACACGCGCTCAAGGGCCTCGTTCAGATGAACACTGTTGTGGTGTGCTGTTGCCAGGTCAGCTGTCTTGTTAATTGCCTGGTTAATAGGCTGGCTAGTTGGCTGGTCAGTTGTATGATTAGAGGGCTGGTCCCTTGGACGATCGTTAGCACAATCAGTTGCAGAGTCGACCGTACGGTTAGTTGCTCTAAGATGCTTAGTCAGGTCAAAGTGTAAGGGATTGTTTTGAGTCACTTTCAAACGAGGACGAGGAAGAGGAGGAGGGGGAGCGGTGCTGTGAGTGGGTTCAGAACAAGGAGGCAGGGAGGGTGCGAGGGAGGGTGCGAGGGAGGGTGCGAGGGAGGGTGCGAGGGAGGGTGCGAGGGAGGGTGCGAGGGAGGGTGCGAGGGAAGGTGCGAGGGAAGGTGCGAGGGAAGGTGCGAGGGAGGGTGCGAGGGAAGGTGCGAGGGAGGGTGGGAGGGAAGGTGCGAGTGAAGGAGCGAGGGAGGGTGCGAGGGAAGGTGCGAGTGAAGGTGCGAGGGAGGGTGGGGGAGAAGGTGAGAGGGAAGGTGCGAGGGAAGGTGCGAAGGAGGGTGCGAGGGAAGGAGAAAGGGAGGGTGGGAAGAACGGAGGGACGGAGGCGACTGCTGGAGTGGGTTGCAGGGAATGAAGATGAGGAGGAGGTGTGGGGACAATGGGAGGTGCAGCTACAGCGGCAGGAGCAGCGAGAAAAGGAGGTCGAGGGAAAGTGGGAGTTGCAGGGAGGGAGGGCGAAGGGTGTTGAGCCTGATGGGAGCTCAGGGCAGTGGGTGTAGGCTCAACTGAGGTGCCGGCAGGTTGGACTGGGGGAGGGCGTACTGACAGACCCTGCATGGAGAGTGATGCGCCAGTCTCTGATCCTGGGGTAGGTGGTTCTGAGGCAGGTGCTTCTGAGGCGGGTGGTGCTGGGGCGGATGGACCTGAGGTGGGAAGTGCAGGGGCAGGTAGTGCTGGGGAAGGTAGACCTGTAGCAGATGGATCTTGATCAGGTGGGTTTGAAGCTGGTGGTTCAGGGTCAGTGTGGGGGGCAGCAGCAGCACAGGGGGAGGAGGAGGGCACAGGGGAAGTGGGAGGTGCGGGATTGGGATGGGGACGCGGAGCACGGGAGGTAGGAGTAGCAGCAGGGGAGGTGGTTTCCAGTTCTTGAAAGGCAACACCTGCAGGTGCATCTGGGGCAGGCTTATTCACCCCACCCACAACCACCACCTCATCCCTTTGAACTTTTCCAAACGGGATACAGACAGTGAAAGCCGACCCAACTCCAGGCCGACTCTCCACAGAGATCCGCCCGCCCATGAGGCCAATGAGCGAGTGACAGATGGCAAGGCCCAGCCCCGTGCCTCCGAAGCGGCGCGAGGAGGAGGAGTCGGCTTGAGTGAAGGGGTGGAAGATGTGGGGCATGACGTGGGGTGCCATGCCTATGCCTGTATCCTGCACCCTCACCTGCACCCACTCCACTGACTTCTGCTGCTGCTCCTCCTGCTCCTGCTGCTCCTGCTGCTCCTGCTGCTCCTGCTGCTCCTGCTGCTCCTGCTGCTCCTGCTGCCCCTCCTGCTGCTCCTGCTGCCCCTCCTGCTGCTCCTGCTGCCCCTCCTGCTGTCCCTCCTGCTGCCCCTCCTGCTGCCCCTCCACCTGCCCCACCCGCTGTCCCTGATGATTCATCTCCACGTGGGTCAAGTCCTCTAACCATCCGCTTGTCTCCACCCTCATCCCTCCCTCCCTTCCAGACGTCTCCACCCACGTTTTCTTCATCCCGCCAATTCTCTCCACCTCTGGTCTTGCTGTTTGCACCGTATCAGACCACCCCTTCTTCTTCACTCCTCCATCACTCTCCTGTTCCTCACCTCGCCCCTCTCTCTCTCTCTGCCTCTTCTTTCCTTGAGACCTTTCAACCCCACCACCACCACTGCCTCCTCCTCCTGCTGCTGCTGCTGCTGCTCCCACTTCCTTCTCTTCTCCCCCTGCTCCAACTGCTGCAGCTCCCACTTCCCTTTCTCCTTCCCCCCCTGCCCCTCCATTTCCTCTTGCTCCCCTACCCTGCCAGGTGTCCTCTCCACTACACTCCCCCCTCCCACGAGAAGACCTGCTATCACTAACCTTCTGCACACATTCGCCTGACCAGGGTGAACCAGCCCAGAGCCTACCCCCCGCCCCACCAGCTTTGCCATTGACACGTGAGGGGGGGGGTTCGTGCAGCCTGCTCACATGCACTTCCACGGAGCCTCTGCCATGGGAGGGGAGGGGACGGCAGGAATGCACAGACGGAGAGGGGAGGGGGAGAGGATAAGGGAAGGTTCGTGCAGCCTGGTCACATGCACTGCCACAGAGCCTCTGTCATGTGGGATGAGAGGGGAAGGGGGGAGGGAATGCACAGAGGGGGAGGGAATGCACAGAGGGGGAGGGAATGCACAGAGGGGGAGGGAATGCACAGAGGGGGAGGGAATGCACAGAGGGGGAGGGAATGCACAGAGGGGGAGGGAATGCACAGAGGGGGAGGGAATGCACAGAGGGGGAGGGAATGCACAGAGGGGGAGGGAATGCACAGAGGGGGAGGGAATGCACAGAGGGGGAGGGAATGCACAGAGGGGGAGGAATGCAAGGGGGAGGGAATGCACAGAGGGGGAGGGAATGCACAGAGGGGGAGGGAATGCACAGAGGGGGAGGGAATGCACAGAGGGGGAGGGAATGCACAGAGGGGGAGGGAATGCACAGAGGGGGAGGGAATGCACAGAGGGGGAGGGAATGCACAGAGGGGGAGGGAATGCACAGAGGGGGAGGGAATGCACAGAGGGGGAGGGAATGCACAGAGGGGGAGGGAATGCACAGAGGGGGAGGGAATGCACAGAGGGGGAGGGAATGCACAGAGGGGGAGGGAATGCACAGAGGGGGAGGGAATGCACAGAGGGGGAGGGAATGCACAGAGGGGGAGGGAATGCACAGAGGGGGAGGGAATGCACAGAGGGAGAGGGAATGCACAGAGGGGGAGGGGAGGGCAGGGGATAAGGGAAGCTTCGTGCAGCCTGGTCACATGCACTTCCACGGAGCCTCTGCCATGCGGGAGACACGCACTGAGGGGAAAGAGCGCACGACACAAGGGAAGGTAGTGAGCGAAACGCGAAGCCGAGTAGGGAGCGACGACGGGGTGAATTGTGAGATGTCTCAAAAGTCGGAGCCGGGTAGGGAGTGGCGACGGGGTGAAGTCGCTCTGTAGAATGAGTGTGCCTTTCGTGTGGTGTTCAAGACAGTGTATTAACAATATATTAGTAGTTGCAATGGTACTGAATATATCATAAGGCACATCCACATGACGCACCTATCAGTGAACTTGATGGCATTGGAAAGCAGGTTGAGCAGCACCTGGCGGAACCGCATTGCATCGCCCACCACCTCCTGAGGCGTGGATGGATGGACGGTCACTGACAGCTGGGATTATCCCAAGGAGGAGAGAAAAGGGAGGAATGGGGATGGACGGGGAAGGAGGGAGAGATGAGGATGGGGGAGCGGATCATGGATGGCTCAAAACCTGTGGCGTGGATGGATGGACGGTCACTGACAGCTGGTACGATCCCAAGAAGAGAAAGGGAGGAATGGGAAAGGAGGGAGAGATGAGGCGGGGGGAAGGGGGATGGGAGCGTGAGTGAGAGGGAGTGTGCTGCCGATGGCAGAGTGGAGACAGCAGGGGTGGAGGGAGTGGGAGTGGGACTGAGGGAGCGAAACTGAGGGAGTGGGACTGAGGGAGTGGGACTGAGGGAGTGGGACTGAGGGAGCGGGACTGAGGGAGCGGAAACGCCAGTCAGTGGGAGTGAGAGTGAGAGTGAGAGTGAGACACACCTGCAGCCCTTTCTTCACGGCAACAACTCTCATGAGCGCGAGAGTGCTGTCAATGGCCGAGTGAAGGGCGAAGGGCGCGAGGGAGAGGGCGAGCGAGTGGGACTCGATTCGGGTGATGTCGAGGAGGTCTGAGAGGATTCGCACGAGGCTCTCCCCTGACGCCCGCACGCACGACCTAAGAGTGGAACACGCCCGCACGCTCTCCCCTAACCCCTTTTTATTTACCCGCAATAGCCATTCCTTACCTGCAACCCTTTCTTCACGGCAACAACCCTCATGAGCGCGAGAGTGCTGTCAATTGCGGAGTGGAGGCCGAAGGGCGCAGGGGAGAGGGCGAGCGAGTGGGACTCGATGCGGGTGATATCGAGTAGGTCTGAGAGGATCCGCACGAGGCTCTCCCCTGACGCCCGCACGACCTGCAGCAGCGCCCTCTGCTCGCTGCTCACTCCCGAGCTTAGTAGTAGTTCCACCACCCCCAACACGCCTGGTGGTAAGGGGAGGGCAGGGGAGGGAGCGAAGGCGAATGTATGGGTGGGAACATGTGGATCAGCAGCGCCCTCTGCTCGCTGCTCACTCCCGAGCTTAGTAGCAGCTCCACCACCTCCAACACGCCTGGGGAAGCAACCAAAGCAGCAGCATGGAAGGAGGGAGGGAGGGGACAAACGGGTGAGTGCGTTTCTAAGGCACCGCACGAGGCTCTCCGCTGATGATGCCCGCACCACCTGCAGCAGCACCCTCTGCTCGCTGGTGCGGGCAGCGCTGCTCACTCCTGATGCCAGTAGCAGCTCCACCACCCCCAACACGCCTGGTGATGCGACGAAGGAAGCAAGAGCGAGTGAGGAAGGGAGGGATGGATGGGAGGGCGAAGGTATGAGTTGAAGTGAGGGGTGAACTTAGGAGCAGCTCCACCACCCCCAACACGCCTGGTGATGCAGCATGGAGGGAGGATGAGAGGAGGGAGGGAAGGAGGAGGCGAGGAGGGACGGGGGGAGAGGTTTGGGTGGCTGCAGTTGAGACGTGGATGATTGGCAGTGGATGATTGGCAGTGGATAACAATCGACTTACTGCCAATCGACTCTCCCCCAATCATCCACTGCCAATCATCACCCACCATTCATGGGGGTGCGCAGCTCATTTCATGTTCGCCAGGAACTGCGCCTTAGCGCGGCTGGCTGCAATTACCCACCACCACTCACAGCTGGTTCATACCCCCATAGGCCATTACCATTCATGGGAGTGCGCAGCTCGTGACTCATGTTGGCCAGGAACTGCGTCTTGGCGCGGCTGGCCGCCTCTGCAGCCTCCTTGGCCTGCCTCAACTCCTCCTCCCTCTTCTTGGCTTCCCTCATGTCGTGCCACACCACAATCACACAGTCCCGCCCCGCTGCCACTATGTGCTGGGAGGGAGGGGGCAAGAAAGGCACACACAGTCAGGAAGAGAGAGGAAGGTGTGTCATGATGCCCGTATCTCTCCCTCCTCTGTGCCTCCCTCATGTCGTGCCATGCGGCCCACGCCACCATCGCACAGTCCAGCCCCGCGGTCCCTCAACGTCCCTTCACTCGCTCGCATCGCACCAGCACTGCCAGGGGTGACCCGCCCAGAGCATAGTGCATCCACTCAAAGCTGATGGCCTCGTCGCTCTGCAAGCACCCACTCTATCCGTAAATGAACCAACCCCAGTTCTGCCCTTTCTCTCACCTTGACTCGAACCAGCACAGGCAACGGAGAGCCATCAACAGCACAGTGCAGCCACTCAAAGCTGATCGCCTCGCTGCTCTGCACCCACGCCATCACCTCGCCGGCCGCCCCTCCCCTGGCCCTCCCCTCACCTCGCCGGCCGCCCCTCCCCTGGCCCTCCCCTCACCTCGCCGGCCGCCCCTCCCCTGGCCCTCCCCTCACCTCGCCGGCCGCCCCTCCCCTGGCCCTCCCCTCACCTCGCCGGCCGCCCCTCCCCTGGCCCTCCCCTCCCCTCGCCGGCCTCCCCTCCCCTGGCCCTCCCCTCCCCTCGCCGGCCTCCCCTCATGCTCACTTGCAACAGCCACACGCAGCATCCCTCACCTTAACTCGCACAAGGACAGGGAGAGGAGACCCATCCAGAGCACAATGCAGCCACTCGAAGATGATCGCCTCTCCACTCTGCACCCGCGCCATCACGTCCCCTGCCGCACCACCCAACCCTGGGGCCAGCCTTTCTGCTCAGCTCACCTTGACTCGAACCAGTACAGGCAGCGGTGACCCATCCAAGGCACAGTGCATCCACTCGAAGCTGATCGCCTCTCCGCTCTGCACTCTCGCCATCACCTCCCCAGCCGCCTCGGCCGTCGGGCGGCCGTCCGGCTGGACGGGCGGCGAGAAGCTGACGTGGAATGGGCGGCACATGACGTCTGCTTTGGAGGCGCAACGCAAGATGGTGACAGCCGCCTCGTTGCAGTCTGTGATCTCCATCTGGTGCAGACGAAAGATGAAGATGGGGTCCTGAATGGTGAGAGCGGGGAGGGGGATGTGGGGAGACAGAGTGAAAGGGCAGGAGAGAAGCAGCACAGGATGGTTACTGCTGGACAACTAGACTGTAAGACTTTCTCAGAAATTAATCTTGCTGCTACATTCTAAACAAAACAAATTAAAACAAAACGAAAACAAACAAATCAAAACCGGCAATAGTGGGAATTTTGTGGGTGGCATGGGGAGTTGATAAATTTAGGGGGAGAAACATATATTGGGATTTACAATTGGTAGATACCGGGTGACTTTAGAGTCGACTCAAAAGACAAGTGGAGTTGCTCGCAATACGTACCATGGCATGGACAGCTCAAAGACGGCTAGTTTTGATGCGCCTCAAAACAAGTGGAGTTGCTCGCAATACGTACCATGGACAGCTCAAAGACGGCTCGATACCGCACGTTCTCCTCACTCAGCCTCGCCACCTCCTCCATCCTCGCTAGTAGCTGCTCCGCTATAGTAGAGCCCCCATCGCTGCTGTCCCCTTTATTAGTTACAACTCCAACACCTCCATTTCCGGGCCCCCCACCCGCATTATCATTGCCAGCATCGACAGCGGCAGCGGCAGCACCATCACCCACAACACGTAAACCTGAACCACCATCATTAGCACCACCAATACCGTTATCACAACTGACGCCACAGGCACCATCCCCACTATCGTTATCATCACTATCCCCATAGGCCTCATTGTCGCATGTCCCCCCTACAGCATCATCTTCTTGGCCCCTTACAACACCCCTGCTGCTCAATTCACGCCCTCTTCTCAAGTCATGACCTCTGCTTGAGTTATCCCCCAACTGCCTTCCCTCCACCTGCATACGGTCACCACCACTGATGCTCCTGATAACAGCAGCCGCACCAGCCTTTAATCCTTCAGATACTCCCGATGCTTCTGCTACTGCTGGTAATGCTGCTGCTGCGGCTGCGGCTGCGGCTGCAGCTGCTGCTACTGCCGCCGTTGCTGCTGTTGGTACGCCTGCCATTGCTGCTGCTTCTGCTGCTGTTGGTGGTGCTGCTACTGCTGCCATTCCTCCTGCTGCAGTTTCCCCAGAGGGTGTAATGTCGACCTGTGATTGGCCCACTGTGTCTCTCGCGCCCTGCGATTGGACCGCGGGCTCCCTCATTCCCTGCGATTGGCTGACGGCGTCTTTCGAGCCCTGCGATTGGCCAGCAGCAGCGCCGAACGGCAGCGCGTCAGAATGCGAGCGGAGCATGCAGGAGAGGCGCTCCAAGCGCGAGCGCACTGCGTCCTGGAAGGGGTTGGGAGGGTTTGGGCGGGGTTGAGAAGTATGGGGGTAGGGTCAGAGTGAGGTGATACCATCTATCTTCTGCTCTTCCATGTCCCCCACAGGACCCCCACCTTCCTCAATTCTTTATTCACGCGCTGTGCGAAGCAACACAACGTGACACATCACTTGAATGAAGAAACCGGCTCACATAGATAGATGGGCTGTTCCGACACCATAGCGCCTTCCAATGATGCTGCATGATTGCGGGCAGAGAGACGGCTTGCAAGGAACGCAACGCAACGCATGAAGAAACCGGCTCACATAGATGGGCTGGTCCGACATGGCCCCTTCCGACGCCGCATGATGCCTCCGCCTCTTCGTCTTCCGCTCCACGCCAAGCCCCTCCGCGCCAAGCCCCTCCGCACCAAGCCCCTCCGCGCCAAGCCCCTCTGCGCCAAGCCCCTCCGCCTCGCTGCCTGCTTCAGCCGCACTGCTCCCGCGGGGAAAGCTGGCGAGCGCAACACTTCCCTCCGCGCAGCTCCCGCGGAGGAAAGCCTCACGCGCGGCAATTCCGTCCGCACCGCTTCCGCTGATAGCCTCCCGCGCAACAATGCCGTCGGCGCCGCTAATACCACGGACCTCGCGCGCAAGTGCCGCCGACGGGCCAGCAGCGCGCCGAGCGACAGTTCCGTCCGCCGCACTGCCTTTAAAACGCGCGGCTTCGACCCGCCGTTCCGTCCCCAAACGCCCCGTTGCGTTCTCCGCGTCCGATTCGCCCGGCCCCTGCCGATCCGCGCGCAAACCCTCGTGGGACTCACTAATCGCCCTTCCGACAAATTTGTGCGAATTCTCAAAACCCTGCTCATTTTTCCGAGAATCTTCCAGAAACGTTTCTTTCCGAAGCTCCTCCCCCCTTCTCGCGCCCCCCACCCCGCTCGCCGTTCCGCGCTGCAAATTCGGTCCAAAAGGGTCTATATCCGTGTTAATGACTTCCGCAGTAAAAGCAGTGCGCACGTGGCAGCGACAGCAACATTTCGGAGTTTGAACCCGGCCCTTCTCTTCCCCGAAGTTTTCCTCTCTGCTCGCCACGCTTAGCCCTAAAACTTCAGCCACGTCCGCTCCTCCTGTCGGGTCTCTAAAACGATTTTCCCCGTTGTCTGCCGTATTTATCGCAGCCTCTAAAAGAGTAGTCGTTGGGTTTAAAAGGGGCAATCGTGACGTCTGAAGGAGTAATCGCCGCGTTTGAAGGAGTAATCGCCGCGTTTGAAGGAGTAATCGCCGCGACTAAAGGAGTAACCGTCACGCGAGCCCAGAAAAACTCCTCGCCGCAAGTCGAAGCGCGTGTCGCCGCGCTTCGACAGGAGAGACGAATGTTACAACCTGCACTGCGATCAAGGTCAGGAATTGCCCCGCCAGCGAAATGTGTTCCCGAAACAGCGAAATGCGTAGAGTTTACGGGTCGCGCTTGACAAGCTGAGGGATCGACAGTAGAAACGGTAGCAGCAGGATGGTGTGGTGTGATGGACCGAAGTCTACAGACTGTATCGAAGCAGCTCTGTAACGCGGACCAGTCTTCCAGGTGAACGTAGTTCGGAAGAAAAGAACTCGCAATATCCGGCGCCATGGCTGTTCAGTTTCTCCTGGACTCTACAACTGAAGCAAGCCGCCGTAAAAAAAATAAAACGCTATCTCAGGTAGTAGACGCAATGCGGAACATATGCTGGCGTGCAGGACACGCTGTTCACCAGCAAAAAACATCGATATTAAGTAATGGCAAAGCCCTGTCTCCCTCTTTCTCTCGATCTCACTTCTCTTGCACCAAACCCGCTGATCTATAATCCATGGGTCTACGTACCTGATACATGGACGTACAGTATCGGATTTCCAGTTGGTTACACAAGTATGAACGAAGAAATGCGGTGCGCTGGCGGTTTGATTCACACACCTTTGCAGCTGAAGAAGGACCTACACCTACTGCTGGGTGGCAGACTGGTGGTGATGATGGTTGAGATTCCACGACATGAACTATGGGCTGGAAGGTTTGTTTGTTGTTGTCTGAACTTCTGATTGAAGGCTGTTCTTGCAGTGTGTATGATGTGATAGTGCGAGGTCTGCCGCTGGATGGCGAATGGCGGTGAGATGAAACGACAGTCTGAAAGGGAGGGAGGGGAGAGCATCTGAGCCGAGGCTTGCTTGCTTGCAGCCTGCTTCAGATAGGGCAGCTCATGCGATGCGTGCTTCCCTTGCGTTTCTATGCCATCCACCGCTTTCCCCAGCAAGGGAAACTGTTTTCTCAAGATGTTTCGGAAGTACACCCTCTTTCTCGCCATTGTGAAATCGGTTATAGTGAAGTCAAGATGGGAAAAGCACGGTTAACGGTGGTTAGATTAAGTCTAGGTATGGTTCAATCAGACAAATCGAAGGTAACTAGGTTTTCCATCAGTTCAGCACAGTTCAGTGTAGTGAGAAAGAGGGTGTAGCTCTTTGAGAATGGGAAACTAGAATGCACAAAATGTTCAATTTGTGTAAGTCCTCGCTGCGACACTTCCCTGAGAGGACGATGATTTGTCAAACCTGGGGTTGATACAATACTGTACACGATGTTTCTGTACGGGCATCCACGTAAAGTTTATCCACTGAACATAGCAATTATCTGACAGGATCTCGCTGAACCTGCACTGTTCTCTGAACGGCACAACCTTCCAAGCATGCTCGCTGCCCGAGGCGTCAATTTTGCAATGCTTTCCCCCGGTCTCTCGCCGCTCCAAAGCTAGGGCCAATAAGCTTTCGAGAATTGGGACACAAGAAGAAATAATCGCGCAACGCGACGACTCTCGAATTTTGCTTAATCCTGTCGACTACCCTCGCACCGCGCTACCCGATTTTTGATATTTCTAAATCTTATGGACTTCTACATGCGCTTTCGTGATAATGACGTAAACACTCTCGACAAGGTTTGTGTCGGATTTGTTGGACGACACATTCTTTAGCCAGGCATGGTTTACCCTGAATACGCAATAACCGTTCAGCCAATTGTTTTTTTAAGGCTATAAGGTTATGCAAGGTGTTATATATCTTCAATATGACATATTTTTCAATCATATTCGGAACTGAAAAAGAAACTGAATTTAAACTGATTTACATTTCTACGAGATTTAATTAAATAGAAATACTATGTGTTCTTTCATAATTTTGCAAAATTGCATTTCTTGAGGCAACACACACAATAACCGTCTTTTGCTACATTTGAGAAGTATAGTTCATGATATAATATTTTCTAGTCCAATGCAAGAGTCTCGTTGCCTCAGTATGGCTACTCCTAATGTATACAATAATACGACTTTGTATTTTTTGAATCATTCTAGCCCTGAAGTATTTACCCGTTTTGTCAGCACGACCATTTTGAATCATTAATGCAACTGCACAAAATGACAACTCGTACAAAGGGGTTGCATTTATTGCATATGGATATTGTCAAATGTGTTCTCACCAAAAAACAAGAAATCAAAGGGATCCGAAATTGCTGTGTAAAAAATACGCAGTCAGACCAGACCGTAAAAGCGGGTGTAGAGCATGTTGCGCTCCAGAGGATTGAGAGAATTTAAAAAATGGGGAGCGCGGTGCGAGGTTAGTCCACAGGATTGAGAAAAATGTGAAACACGTCGCGTCGCGCAATTATTTCACACTGGCGAGCTGCTTGGGGTCCGAGCCAAGCGTTGCTGGTGGGGGGGGGTGGCATTTTCGGTTTTATGTCTAGAAGACCGTTAGTGAGATCACGTCAGGTCACTCCGTTCACGTGATTGTCGATACAGTGTACTGTATCAAAATCGAATCTTCAGGACTCTGTAGCAACTGCACAAGCACATCGCGTGTCATTTATCTTCGCCAGAAGCAATTGTCGTGCTCAACAGCTTTACTTGATAACTTTGCCAATATCAGTACACGAGGTTTACTCACGTTGATCACCTAAGAAATACAGGTTTTAACATTCAATAATATCCCATGGGCCACCACTTCAGTAACGGTTTTGTATTTATGCAACACCCATAATAAGCTTTTCCTGCTCGTCCAACTTCTTCACTTGCATGAGGCCAATCAGAACGCGCATGCCAAACACAGCACTGGCCAGCAGGAGCAATGTCGCGGGCGTTTTGCGGGCGGCAATGTGCATGGCCGAAGCAACATTCATCAAGGTGGCTGCTGCTATGGCCTGCAAGGGCGAGAAAAAAACAAAACAAAACAAACAAAGACCAAAAAAAAAAAAAACGATGGCATTACAAGAGGGGAGTACATGGTGTGACCGGACAAGACAGTGAGACACATGGAAGGGAGATGTTGTAGTGACGAGCATATGAGATGTGGACAGTGCGAGCAAGCAAGAGGTTCTTACGCTGCCAATGGTGTTTTGCATAGTGGCCACTCTCTTGAACGCCCTCTCATTCTCCAAAGTCCGTACCCTCAGCTTCAGGTCACCTTGCTCCTGCACATCACCAAGGAGGAGAGAGGAGGAGAGGACGTGCATGGGTGTCTCTAAGTATGAATGTACCGGTATACGTGTGCACATGTGTGTGAGTGAGTGGGTCTGTACTGTACAGTCCAGTGACCCTGACCACGTGACAGCCGCAAGTGATCAGAAGTGCATCCTCCCGAAGAGGCCTCAAACAACACATGCATCACAATAAGCGAAGGCACAGTGGACCAATCAGAACCCGCAGCACGCACCAGTCTCAGGATGACGTCAGCAAGCTTCTCCACGCGGCTGGGCTGCCTGAGAAGGTTCCGGAAGGCCTGCGACTGCCGGTCCCACCGCTTCCTCAGGTCCTGCCCACCCGACATATTTGATAGTGGTGGAAGAGAGAAGAAACCGGATGAGAGGAACACGCATGACAATGGCATCGATGTAGACATGAGGCAGCCCGCTTGCACACATGGCATGGCATCAGCATGTGTAGGAAGACCAGCCTCGGAATGTTATGCTTAGAGGAAGAAGAAAAAGAAAGTGTGCCTGTGCAGGTAGTGTATAAGGGCATTGGCTCACCTTGAAGAAGAGCTCGGTGCCCACCTCCCGGAAGCGAAGCAACTCGAGGGCATAGCTGGATGGGGGGCGAGATGGGAGGAAGGGGGAATGGAGAAGTCGAATTGGGTAGGGGGTGAGATGGGAGACGCGCGAGATGGGAGGGGGAAAAGAGTGGAGAGGGGTGAATGGCAGAATGGAAGAAGGCGAAAAAAAAATAGAGAGAGCGGCAGAAGGGGGGGATGGAGCTGCTGAAAAACGGGGAGGGCCGCAGAAAGGGAGAGGGTTGCAGAAGAAGGGAAGAGCCGGGGGGAGGGGGGGGGGGGGGGGGAGAGGGGGGGTTTGAGAGGTGGTTTGGGAGACAGAAGAAGGAACAAATAGCGGCCGAAGTGAAGGGAGCAGCAGAAGGAGGGGGGAGGGGGAGAGAGTGGGAGGCGAGGAGAGCGGACTCACGGCTTGGCAATCTCGGAGATGTCAAACTTGGCGTCCAGCCCCTTGCCAATGCCGTCCAGCACTGAGAAGGCGCGCACCACAAAGGTGAAGCTGCACGGGGGGAGCGGCGCAGGAGGGAGAGGTGATGAAGAAGTAGGGGAAAGTGGAGTACATACATACAGGGCGGCCTGGCCCTTGCCAGTGCCTGTCGCGACGCGAGCAGACGCGATGACCGAGGGAGGCATGCAGCGGCACAAACAAACGTGGCGCATAACAAAGTGGCCAAGATCATGCCGTGCAGCTTGTTGTTGATGAGCATGTGTGATGAAATGACTCGTTTAAAACGGAAGCGGATGTGTGCGATGACCATGCCATGTGATCGGCGTGCCCTATGCTGCCCAACCATGCCATGCCATCCCATCCCTCTGCTGCTCCAACCATGCCATGCCATCCCATCCCTCTGCTGCTCCAACCATGCCATGCCATCCCATCCCTCTGCTGCTCCAACCATGCCATGCCATCCCATCCCTCTGCTGCTCCAACCATGCCATGCCATCCAATCCCTCTGCTGCTCCAACCATGCCATGCCATCCCATCCCTCTGCTGCTCCAACCATGCCATGCCATGCAATTCGCTGCTCATGCTGCGAGTGTGCTGCCATGCGACACAGCAAGCCTGGAGCTGCTTACGTGGCTGGGAATCGGAAGGGCTGGTCAGCTGCAATGGCCAACAGGTCCTCGCCTGTTGGTGGGGCACATGAGAGGGTGGAGAGCACATGAGAGAGCAGGGAGCACATGAGAGGGCAGGGAGCACATGAGAGAGCAGGGAGCACATGAGAGAGCAGGGAGCACATGAGAGAGCAGGGAGCACATGAGAGAGCAGGGAGCACATGAGAGAGCAGGGAGCACATGAGAGAGCAGGGGATAGGCCAGCCAGAAACAAGGAGAGGGTGGGAATCGGAAGGGCTGGTCAGCTGCAATGGCCAACAGGTCCTCGCCTGTTGGTGGGGCATGGAGGGCGGGGCGTGTGGGAGGGCGGAACAGGCGTGTCCGGGTGTGTGGGCAAAGCCAAGAGCCAATGGGTTGCAGGGAAATAAAGATATCTCGAAGAAGATACTGAGGAAGTCCACTTGTAGGTAGACTTTAACAGCATTGTGGGTAGTTTTTGAGAGTTCTCAAGAATCACCACCATGAGCAGCACCATCAGCACAGCAAGCCCCACTCACCGATAGCAGAGAGCCGCATCTTGCGCTTAGCGAGCGCCTCTTCCTTGGTCATGGGTGCGCTGGCCTTGGCCTCTTTGCATGAACCGTGCGCCGCCACCACCACGAGCATTTAGCACGACAAGCCCCACTCACCAATGGCAGAGAGCCGCATCTTCCTCTTAGCCAGCGCCTCTTCTTTGGTCATGGGCGCGCTCGCCTTGGCCTCCGCCTGCTGCTGCGCCAGGCGCTCGTCAAACGAGTTGAGGAAGAACTGCGCCGTGCGCCGCACAGCCGTGTGTTCATTCATCTAGGCCTCATTCCATGATTTGCACCACTCACCGATAGCAGAGAGCCGCATCTTGCGTTTCACCAGGGCTTCCTCCTTGGTCATGGGCGCACTCGCCTTGGCCTCCGCCTGCTGCTGCGCCAGGCGCTCCTCAAACGAGTTGAGGAAGAACTGCGCCGTGCGCCGCACAGCGGTGCGGTCCCCAGTGGGCACGAGCACGCCCATCTGCACCATGGCGTCCAACACCTTGTCAGGGTCCTTCTCATACACCCCGTAGAACGCCTCCACCAGGCCCTCTCGGATGTCAGAGGGGATGCTGCATGCAAAGGACCGCATAGATCAGGGGAGGGAGAGGAGGACAGAAAGGTGAGAGTATGCCATTGCCAGCATCAGG